AAGATACTGATTATCAAAACAAAGCTTGCTGATATGTATAAAGTAAAGCGGTGAAAGAGCGGCATGAAATCAGAAATCGAGCCCTCCAGCGGCATTGCGTTCATTATAGTGAAGGTCATGGCACAGTGTCATATTTAGTAAAATAAGAAATGTTTAGACAATATTTTATATTACTTCGAGACCTAAAACCAAATCTTTTCATGCTAATCATTTAGTCATATGTAAATATATAGCTATCTACACAATAAACAAACATGTTTAGGTATATATGTATGTTCATAAACTTTGGAGAGGTTGGGCAAAAATTAAATCAACGATACACACCTTAATCAAAAGAACAGACAAAGAATAATACTCAAGTACTTCCAAACACCGAAAATGCAATATTAGGAAAATATTTATAATAAAATAGATAAAATAAGAATGCCTTTTTTAAGCTGCTTTCATCATTTATTCTACATATGTATTTCCCACAATACACCAAAATAAATATCAGTGTTATATATACATACATACGTCGCAACATGTTTGACTGATTATGCAAATAAAAAACTTTTGAGATATGCACCACATTATTAGCGGCGCAAGCATTGCAATCATTTTTCAATGAAATATTTAATTCTTATATAAAATTATAAATTATTAAAGAAAGATTGCGCATAAAAAGGTTACATAACAAAACAGCCAACACCGTCTAGCTTCTTCGTTAGTCGCTGACGTCGTCACTACCACTAACTACATTCCGTATATAATGGCACACAGTATGCTTGTGAAAGCATGCGGTCTTTGGTGCTACCGTGGCCCTTTTTCTATTCAGTCGAGCCTCTTAATGGTAATGTTCACCAGAAAATTGTTAAAAATATCATAGAACAAACCAATTTCACAATCCCACGGTTAGTGCTTCTTTTGATCGTGTTGTTTATTGCTTCTTCAGTGCAATAATCAACCGAAATTATCTTTTCCCCTCGCCAAAAATTCGGAGAATCGCAATTTTTGAGCTTAATGTGTAATAATGGTTGTGTAACCGAAGTGAAAAAGCGAAATTCATATGCTATTTATTGCATATACATAAACTTGAAATTATTTTGTCCTAGCCTGGATAATGGACACTTCCTGATATAACTCTACTCCTTTGATTTACGTCCGATGTTTAACTTACCATCACCGCTGCATTTTTGGCCAAAATCGATGGTACTCGCATTAGGCTCGACATTTTCGTAATATGAAATACTTTACAGAAAACTCCTCTTATTGAATGCTATTTGAATGTTTCACTGCGCCTATTTTAAAATAAAACCGATTATTATTATGTTAACAAAATGTAGTCCTTTCTTATTTTTATTACAATTCAAATTCGTTCCAATCTAATTGTCAATTCGATGAAACTTCTCGCGCTCGCACCGACCGACTGATGAGAAGCAGCTGCCCAATGCGCCAATGGGGAAAACAAAAACAATTCTGGCAATAGCGTTACCAATTTTAAATAAATTAATTTTCGTGATGAAACAATAGAAATATTGTGTAAATCAATTAGAAAAAATAAGAAACTAAACTAGTAAAGTAAATAATAATAAATTATGATTGAAACTTACACAATAAATCCCCTTTGTCGTTTTCCACACAGTCGTTGTAATGAAGATGATATTACGCAGACACAGGGTGCTACAAATGCATGCCTCTCAATTGCAGTAATCTGCTTCTGCTTATGTAAATATGCTATTATCAAGCTTTCATTTATATTAATTGTAAAAAAATGCGTATGACTATTAGTCACAGATATCAACAAAAATACGATATATCAGAGAAAATAGTTATTTGTACATTTGCCATTTATTCAAATCTGCTATTTCCCTTTTCAAGAGTTAACAACCCTGTAGTTGAACGGAAACAGATAGGCGGAAATTAAGTAAAAAACATTAGATCTTATACTAATAAAAATACCTGAATAAAAGCAATATAATAATAAGATTTATAAAAAGGGTAGAAAATTTTATTTATGAAAACTGCGAAAAACAGTATTTTTGAAACGAACATTTTTAACAAAAGTCATATGAAAAGAATGAAAAATTTTAATATTATATCAGACCATTGATCGAATGTTAATTAAATGTGTACCATTAATTTTATTTTACATTGTTAATAGTTTTAAATATGAGGCCTTTTAAACATTTACCATTTATGTTAGTAGTGAACAACCGGAAATTGGTAAGTATTGATTAAAGTTAATATAAGCTACAGAAATTTGTATTATACTTCCTTATATGCGTACATTTAAAATTGTCATTTGTTATATATTTGTGATTTCAGTTACCACCTTTAACAATGCTTCGATCCTCAATACGTGCATTAACTTGTGACAGTAAAACACGCGGCGATGCCAAAATAAGCAAAGGTATTTCAAAGGCCTATCCAGTGGTAGATCACGCATTTGATGCTGTCATCGTTGGCGCTGGAGGTGCTGCTTTACGTGCCGCAACCACTCTAGTAGAATTGGGTTTCAAAACTGCCGTTATTAGCAAAATTTTTCCAACACGATCGCACACGATCGCTGCGCAGGGTGGCGTAAATGCCGCCCTAGGCAACCAAATGGAAGATGACTGGCGTTGGCATTTCTATGACACAGTTAAAGGGTCAGATTGGTTGGGCGACCAAGATGCTGCTCATTATATGACGCGAGAAGCACCACGCGCCATTTTAGAACTTGAAAATGAAGGTTTACCCTTTTCTCGCACTGCGGATGGTAAAATATATCAGCGACCATTTGGGGGGCATACCACAAATTTCGGTAAGGGCCGTGCGAGACGTGCCTGTGCATGTGCCGATCGTATTGGTCATGCTATCTTGCATACGCTTTATGGCAAATCACTCGCTTACAATATTAAATACTTTATTGAGTTTTATGTATTGGACTTGATTTTTGACAATTATGCTTGCTGTGGTGTCATCGCCATTTGTTTAGAAGATGGTACATTGCATCGTTTTCGTGCACTTAATACTATAATAGCAACAGGCGGCTATGGACGAGCCTATTTTTCGTGCACTTCCGCTCATACCAATACAGGTGACGGAAACGGAATGGTCGCTCGACAAGGTCTACCACTACAGGATATGGAATTCATACAGTTTCATCCAACGGGTATGTATGGTCCCGGTGTACTTGTCACTGAAGGTTGTCGTGGTGAAGGAGGATACTTAGTGAATGGAAAGGGCGAACGGTTTATGGAAAATTATGCACCAAAAGCAAAAGATTTAGCACCTCGTGATATGGTATCACGTTCAATGACTATAGAAATAATGGAGGGACGTGGTGTAGGACCCAATAAAGATCATATTTTCTTGCAATTACATCACTTGCCAAGAGAAAAATTACTTACCCGTCTGCCTGGTATTTTAGAGACGGTTAAGATTTTTCTTGGCATAGATGCGACTAAAGAATCTATACCAGTAATACCTACTGCACATTACAACATGGGTGGTATACCAACGAACTATCGTGGACAAGTATTAACGATTGATTTGGATGGTAATGATCGATGTGTGAGTGGCTTATATGCGTGTGGCGAAGTCTCATGTAATGTGCATGGCGCAAATCGTTTGGGTGCTAACTCACTATTAGATCTCTTAGTCTTCGGCCGTTCTTGTGCTTTACATATTTCCGAAAACCACCGAGCCGGCTGTCCGGCACCGAATTTAAAGGATGTGAGCTTTTGCAAAATACATACATATATACTAAATCTCAATTAATATTTAATTTTGCAGAATGCAGGCGAAATGTCTGTGGCAAATTTAGACAAATTACTTCATGCGAATGGTAGTGTTACCACTGCCACATTACGCCTTGAAATGCAGAAGGCAATGCATCAGTATGCAGGTGTATTTCGAATTGGACCAAACCTGCAGGAAGGTGTAGGGAAATTAACTAAAATCTATAATGATTTCAAAGATGTGCGCACAGTAGACAGGTAAGTAAATAATGTAAAAATATTTACAGGTCATATATTTTTTTTTAGATCACTAATTTGGAATTCCGACCTGATTGAGACACTAGAGCTGCAAAATTTGCTCGTGAATGCTATGTGTACAATGGTGGCCGCTGAAAACCGGAAGGAGTCCAGAGGATCACATATGCGTGAGGACTTTAGAGAACGTATCGATGAATATGTAAGAAAAACAAGAAAACCCGTTATTTTCGGTTGCACTGAAGCTAAAATACCCTTCACAAACAAAAAAGTTTCCATACAAAAGCTTTATTTTGACATTACAGATTTATGTTTAGACCATCTTACCTGAAAAATTTCGGATACTGTAGCATGATCTTGAGCAATATTCTGTGCCAAATTTCGTGAATATATTGTATCTTCTCAAACAGAAAAGTTTTTCATACAAGGACTTTATTTTGGTCGGTCAGTTTGTATGGCAGCTATGTATATGCTATAGTGGTTCAGTTGAACAGTTTGTTCCGAGATAGTAGCAATTGACAATAATCCATGTCAAATGTCGTGAATATATCTTGTTAAATAAGAAAAAATTATATACATGAACTTGATTATTATCTTTCAGTTCGCTAAATCAACACAGCTCGTCACTTTAACCATTTATATATATTTTATAGGATCCCCGACGTTTCCTTCTGGGTGTTACAAACTTTGTTCAGGGTATAAAATCTGCTCTGAGTAAAGATATACGAGTACTACATAAATTGGATTTGCCTCACACACAACTCAAACAAATATTCACTTCATTATTAAAATTATATGATTGTTAATGTTTAATTTTTACTCATGCGAATAACTTCACAGGACTACAGCGAAGCTATTGAATGTCAAGAGAAGTGTTCGTTCGATGAACATTGGCGCAAACATACACTTACCTGGATTTGTGGCGATACCGGCGAAGTTAGAATTAAATATCGTGCCGTTGTTGATACGCCCTTAGATGATAGTGTGGAACATGTTCCGCCCGCTATACGTTCATATTGAATGCTGATCAATAAACACCAATTACAATTAATTGATTTAATATTCAAGAATTAATTTTACTAAAGCGCGTCAACTTAATGAAGATGTACATATTGCGCGAATTGTTTGTCAATAGTTTAATATTTTTAACATTTTACAATAAAGGATACTATAAAAACACATTTTAGAACATACATATAAAATCCATTTTATGGCAAATTTTCGAAGTAAAAAAAAATATATATATATATATATAATTAATACTCATGAGGATGTGGGTGGCGTCACTTTCTTTCCGCAACGCATCGAATACTCCTCCTCTGTTAAATCGGATAAGTGGTTTATACCCATTTTCCATGTAACTTCGCCATTCACATATTTTTTGTTGTGTTCTTCCACCATTTGCTTGGATTTAATGTACCGTTCACGACGCATTTTATCCTCAGCATCATCAGAATAAACTTTATTGAACTTCGACTAAAAGTATTAAATTACGATGGATATTTATAGATGTCTAATATAACGAATAACTTACCTTATACTCCTCCCATTCTTGATCGGAAACAAGTGACATTGTTATATCTGCCGTTTACTGTTGCCGATAAACAACTATGCTCTTATGAACTTTTGCTTTATAATTTAAACAAAATGAAAATATCTCAGAAGCTGTATTAATGTTGATAATAGCCACAGAAATGACTCATTTAATTTTGTAATTATCTTTGTCGAAATCGTGCCTGTATGCAGAACAAAGGCAGAAAAAAGTTGAATACAAACAAATATTATAATAATACAAAACAATTTTCGATCTGACGAATAGCAATGGAAGAAAACAACAGTATCAGCTGTTAACCAAGGGCAACAAAAAAAAGTTTATAAGTGCTACCACCTGTTTGTTTTCTACAGAGTTGCTTCACATTAGCTGGATTTCGAAGTTTATACTCTCCGACTATTAAACAGCAGCAAATTCAAATTTATTTCATCCATTTTAGAGATTCATGGCATATGCGTGTGCATTTAAAATAAGTTATAAAAAATTCGACAATAAAGCAATAATAATCTACATATATAAAAATGAAACCCGTTTCTTGTTGTCACACCATAACTTGAGAACGGCTAGACCGATTTGACTGTTTTTTTTAAGTTTTCTAATACTCTGTAGAAGTTCTTAGGGAAAAAAATATTAAGAAAATGTCTCAGAAAGATTGAAAAAATACAATTAATTTTGCATATTTAAAAAAACGCGCGTAACGAATGTCATCGTCATTCACAGCCATAGATTATATTGAAAGAGCATCGTTTGTTCGGAAACGAGGTTACCTAATTAAATTCTATCGCACTAATTTACTAATTTTTGAAAATTACTCGCCACAATTAAATGTACCGACTTTGACGGTAATATTAATAATATCAGTGATGATTTCATTTTAATGTAAGTATTTAATAATAATAAAATATTTATACAATGAGTTAGATTTCAGAACGCAGTATACAAACTTCGCATAACCTATTTAGTAATCTGTGGTAATCTGACGTTTGTTTTGTTTTAAAGACTAAGAGTGTAAGTTTGTTGTTGTTTGCTAATAAGTGTTTGTTAATCAATCAAAATTTCGTATACATGGCTAAACAGAAAATATAAGGGAGCAAACTTTTATTTTCAGTTGGATTTCGTTTTTAAAAATGCCACCAACCAGACGCACAAAGTTAGACCGCAGAACTCGAAATACTGCAAGTCAAAGATATATAAGAGCAAATCAAACAATTTAACTGTATTGAATAGTATGTAATTAATGTATACCTTAGCCACAGCATCGCGTGGACGGGGTCCTCTAGTAATTAATAAATAACTATCTCAACCAGTGGTTTTAAATATATAAATTTATGACAACCGGCGTTTAAAAGTTGTTTGTAGCGTTTTGAGTCGAGATTACGTCGGCGAGTTTTAATTACATATCTGAATGAATATGACTCGGATGGGTTCATTTAAACTGCGCGCAGAAATCGCATTTTTTTTCGTAGATAGATACAACCCAATGAAGATAAGAGGTGTTTTCATTTTGGTACAACATTTCTTATGTTCGTGTAGCTGAAGTGACTCTATGATTTTTTATGTGCTCGAAACTGAAACCATTTCGGGGAGTCAATTGAAGTCATTAAAAGTATTTCGCTGTAGGCACTGAAGCCACCCCAGCTGTGGCTTATAAAAAGTGTTTGGAAAATTGGATTAATTGGATATTGGCCTGCTTGCAGTGACTTAACAGGAGCCTGTTTTGAAGGCAGTAATACAAATTTGTATTAAAATACATGGAAAGGTTTTTTTTTTGGTTTTTTGTCAGTCCAGTCAAATTTGATCAGATAGTATATTTTAAATTTTCTGATTTTTTGTTGGGATTTCTTTTTATTTCTTTTCAAATTTCCTTATTTTAAATCGTGTTTTCTGTTATTAAGGAAACCCAAAGCACATCATTATCAAAATTATTTACGAGTATAGAAAGCCTAAACTGCCCTATGAAAGAGGTTTTTTAATACTCCACTTCCACAAAACTTGAATTACAACTGTTTTGTTAACTCTGTAATCAATTATTCTTTACATTTCTTAGTAGCTCCACCTTGTTCTTTCTCGCTTCATATTTACTCTGTACAAGATGTCACAGCTTTTGAAATTTTCTGTAGTGGTGTCCAACAACCTCTTCGATGCAGTTATTTACTTCAAAATTTGAACTTTAAATCCTAATTTGTCTAAAGTTTGCAGTTTTTCATGAGAATTCAATATTTTTGATATTAAACATTTCAGGGTTTGTTATGCCGAAGTCTTACTGCATCCGAAGAAAAATTTCGATTTAAGGCGGTTTGCTATTCCTTCATTTTTGAATAATGTCACATTAATTTTAGTGAAAATTCTTTAAAAACTAAATATGCCAATGTTTATACTTACCTTTAAATCTTTTAATTTCTAGTTAGACAGTAAGTATGGTGTTCGAGCAATAATGAGCCTGTGTTTTTACATTAATGAAGCATACAAGGCCAAATGTTTTGAATTGTAAACTTTTTGTACAATTATATAAATTTTTATTCTTTTTTTCTTAATATAATGCAATTCTTTCATAGGCGTATATTTATTTTTATAAATTTATTATGTGTATATAATAGCTAAATATTAAACGCAAAAGAGTGTTGTTAAAGATTATTGTGAATTTTGCGTGCATTTGCATATAATTTTTTTAAGTGTAATGCACTTATAATGTTAATTTATGCTTTCTTTTGTAATGCTTTGCAGTTGTGTGTAAAATGAAAAGCTTATCTCAACTTTGCTAGAGTAAAAAAAATATAATTTGAATATTTTGAATAAGGGTCACAAAAACAAACTATGTTAAGTAATTAATATTTTCTTGCTACAGAATGTTGGCTTCAGTATTTCTAAGCAATACATTTAATATCTTTTGCTTGTGGCAAAAAATTGTTAGAAATATGCTTCTGTATCTGTAAGGTGCAATTTCAATTTTAACATGCGAACTAGTGAATTATTAAGGAATATTCATATAACAATAGCGTATGGATGGTGTTACTTTTAAAAATGTATTTAATTAATAAACTTTCAAAAGTCCCCATAAAAATTGTAAAATCTTCTTCGTAAACTTAAATTGTATTTGTTCCATATTAGCCATCAATATTGCTGTGTGATGTTTTTTGTCACCTGGCTTGAGCTTGGTTGCACTTTCATTTTTTGTTTTTTGAAAATTCCACTAAAATTCCAAAACAAAAATTTAGTTGAAATACCACAATAGTAACAAAAACGTTTTACTCAATGTGCACAAAGTTACTAAAATCTCTTAAAACACAACTGCAAATAATAAACAAAACATATTTAACAATCACGCGACAGTCCTAAAACTAAAGCTAGCTAACTAGCTTCTCAAAATTAAAAAAAAAAATTAAAAATAAACAAACAATACGTATACACTTCTGTAGCTTTTCTATCAAAGAAAAACCATTAATAAGCATTAAATAAAATGCGTTTAATATATATATGTGTATGATTTTCATATATTATATAATATATAACATAAGACTTAAGTATTAAAATATTACAATAAAAATTGCCAGCGGAATATTTTTTGTTTTTCGTTTTAACATGCGAATTAAATTTAGTATAATATTTTGTAGCTGCTAAATTGCTTTCTTTTTAAACAATTGAATCAATTGCTTTGTCATAAAACATACTTGTAGTTGTTTGCAATTAAATTTGAACTAAAACACAAACATTTAAAATTTGGACAAATTAATGAAAAAGCGGAGAAACAAACAAAACAAAACACATGCGGCGACAAAAACGAAGTGCATTCTATGTGAGAACATAAATATTGAATATTTTTCTTTATATATATATATTATTATCAAAGCATACTACAGTGATGTGCTGGGAAATATATGCAAAAAATGTAGAACGAATTACATTAAATGCATTTTTTAAGTTTTGAGTTAAATGAAATTCTACACAAATTAATAACCTCAAAAAAATAATGTTTTTATATATGTAAAATTTTTCATTAAAAGATAATTTGTACAATGGAAAATTGGTTTTGAACAATTTTCGAGCACATTAAGCTTGAATTTACAGAAAATAATATTTTAATATTTTTCAAACATAAGAAGCTGGAATTTCTAGAAAATTATATTTTTAGAAATAAATTTAAGAAACAATTCATTTGCAAAAATTCGGAAACAATTTGAAAAATTAACGAAATGTGTATACAATTAAAGCTTATTCGTAATGATGCTCCAATTAAAGCTTTGTGCAGTAGATCTGAAATTTCAATTCAATTTCGTCGAAATATACTTTAGTAATAACAAAATGTGATAACTACTTACTGCAAACTGCTTTAGCCTAGAATATATTTTCCTCCGCATTAAAGTTTTAAAGCTCTTTAGCACATTATTTTCACATTTTCTTTTATTTAAGCACAAATTATATTTCATATTATGTATATTATCGATTTTTTTTTCATTTTTAGATGTTTTTGTATGAGTAAAAGTATTTGATTTCCTTTGTTGCTTATATTTTACACGCTATGGCAGTTTATTAAATATATTTCATTTATATTACTATTTGATTTGTGTTTGTATGTGTGTGTGGAACTATTATATATAAAGTTAAGAAGTATAAGTTTATTTTTAGTTTTTTTATACATTGTAAGTTTGCAATATTTCTTGGAATTTTACTTATTACTGGATTTTTTGTTTAAATTTTTATGTAATTATGTAATTTTTTTTTAATTTTTCGCTGTATGAGTTTACATTGAAGCGCGACGTGTAGTTTATTTTTACTTCTTTTTTGTTGGTGGTATGTTATGTAGTTTTTTATTAGTGGTAAATTGTAGATACTACTACCTAACTAAAAGTGCAAATATGTTATTTTTTTATTTATTGCAATGATAATATAACAGCTCCAGCCACCAAACTCGAATTTCAATCGAGCCTAATGGTTAGCATCGCTTGTTTTAGCCTGAATGTAGAACTTTGAAGAGTTTTTAAATGTTAAAATGTATTGCATTCAAATTTTAAAATTCGCTCAAGTCATACATAATCTAATAAAAAGTTTTTAGCACGCGCTTGGCTGTATGTTTTAAGCGCAAAATTTTAATTACTCTACTAGTTATGTACATACGCATATAGCTGATTCTCAAATATGTTCAAATTCATGTTGATAAACTGCTATAATTGAAGAATTTATCGATTTTCAAGGAAATTATTAGTTATAATATTTAAATTGAAAGTTGTATGGCAGTTACAAAGTCGTTTTTGTTCAAAAAGTTGGATTACAAAAATGTGTTGTGTTTAAAAATTTTATTTTAGTACTTTTATCAACAGCACATTTAGAAGTAAAAACTTGTTTAAGCCTCCTTAAATGATTTTTTTTATTTATGTTGAAACAGCTGAAAATGAAATGAAAATAGTGAAGAAATCGTTAACAAATCCTATAATACTAGTAGTTCCCACATAGTTTTATTGAAAGCTTTAAATACTAGAAATGTATATAGGCGCAAACATATCCAAAGTCTGTTTTCAAGCACTTTTGTTCAAGCATTTTACATGATATGTTGCTAAAACAACAATAGTGCCACTTTATAATTTTGACTTATGTACTTTTCATTCAATATGAATTGCTTAAGGGATAGTAAATATATTCGGAAGTATATAGAGAATAATAATATGATGATTATGGACATCCTACTGAATGTCACAGCTAACCTTTTCAGCACGTTGGTGAATTTTAAATTTTAACACAAAATAAAAACATTTCAAAAACGCTATTTTGCAAAATCGAATTTCATTCAATACATAAGCTTGTTTTGTGTTTTTCGGTTAATAACATTCATGCACATGCAGATTAAAGTGCAGATTTAGAATATATAGATGAAGGTAAAAAAAAAGCTTCGCTGTACGTGCACTATTGCATTGCAATTTAAAAAATATAATTTTAACATATTTTACACGCCTTATAAAACGAAAAAGTCTCTCTTACAAGTTAGTTTCGGTAATATAGCGTGTTATTTTTATTATAATTTGAATTTTGAATTAGATGTTAAACAAATTTCTTTATATTTTCATAATTTATTAAATTAATAAATGCTATGTTTCAAAAATGTTTCATCTACACTTTGCATGCAGCAAATTTATATCTTCCTAACTGTTCTCGCCATATCTTTTCCTATATACAAACACTTATTTCTCACTCCCAACTAATGCACTTCGCTTAAACGCCGCCAATCGTCGCCTAGTTTAAATGTTTATGTATGTATGTACGTCGATCAATTTATTTAATTAATTTTTTGTCCTACCTGACACATTTTTTTCATTTTTTTATAAATCTAAATTCTTTTGCAATTTATGTTTTCATATATAAACGTCTATATTTATTTATTATAAAAAAGGTGTTGTGTGTTCTAAATATTTTTTGTTGTTTTTATTTAATATGCATATTTTTGTTTTGTTTGTTTGCAATAATAAAAATAATTATCATCATGTTTCTTGTTGTTTGTCATATTAATGTTTTCATTTATCTGAAAATTTATAATTTATGCATTACATTTGAATTGTTTTTTACTGTTGTCCTTAAATTTAATATACATATAATTTTACGTTTTTTATATATAATTAAAGAGCTGCTCTTCATTGTCCTGCCATTAATAAATTTGCATTTTGCCTCAATTAATAAAATTGTTGTTGTTTTCAATTAATATCTTAATTATCCTTTGTTTGTTACTTTTGATGTCGGCGTTGCCCCCTCATCGCTTTGTCGCTTAAATGTATTTTAATTTATTTGCATTACCGTTATATGTTCGCTGGTTTTTCGTGCATTAACTCTTGTATGCTTTTGCTCTAAATCGTTTTTGTTGTTGCTTGTTGTTTGTTTCAAATGCAATTGTTCTCTCTTTTTGTTGTGGTTGTTGTTGCATGACATTTACTTAAATAATTTCTAGATTTTTTTGTAGTCATATTTTCATATTTATACGATTTTTCATTATTTTTTTATTATCATGTTTTGCTTTAATCCTTATTTCCTTATATATTGTATGTATAAACTGCCTGTTTATACTCGCATCATTGCTTCGTCCTTCTTTCATCTACACTCTTTTTACGTAGCTGCATTAATTTAGTTGCTCTGTTTTTTTTTTTGTTTTTGTTACTTTTCTTATTTCTGTTAAGCTGCCTTTAATTATTGCTTGTTCTCAACTTAAGCTTCGGCCTTCTTCTTTTCCTTCTTCTTCTTCAAGAACGATGGTGTCCTAAGACCCTTCTTCTTCTTCTTGTCTTTCTTGGGCGAACCATCCGTGGACACATCCTGGAACCGTAATAGAAATTTGCAATGAGAATATCGTTTGGACCAGTGTTAGTAAAACATACATGCGCACACAATGAAGCAGGGTTGCATTGATGGATATGATTATGCATGCGTTGGTTATTTTTAACACACAAAAGAAGTGCTTTCATGGATCGGCACTCACATGAAGTGATAAAAAATGATATGGAATAACTATAGCGTAGTGGGATGAACACCCAGCTAAGGTGAATTGTAGATTGAAAACGTTTTAACTATATTCTTGACTCTTTACTGAATACATATTTTCTCCCAAAGCATAAAATAATTATTAATTGAGTATAACCTTTAACTACCAGGTGTACCGGTATGAAGTGAGCGTTAAGATACAAATGTGTTGGTAGGGAACATTTGTTGTGAACAAGCCTTAACTATTCCAACGGATTTTATTCCAGCAACTTCTTTCATTAAAACCCTTCCACGAAGTTATGAGCTTTCAAAATTCAACCAATTTTTGAAAATTTGATTTCAAATGAGTGCATTATGTTAGCTACACATTCAGCGCCGATTTAAAAAATATAATTTTTAAAATAAATCCGAAATGAAAAGCTGTGTCTAGAAAAGGCTGGACGAAGAGAATGCTACATTTGTGTTTGAAAGTTTTTCGATCACCACGTAGGAGAGATTTTGTATATTGCTATTTATTGCTGAGGTCCTGCTTATGCTTTGAAAATAATTTAATTTTAAGGTAATCTTCGAAAATAACCGGAAGGTAGTTTTACTTTATTTATATATGTACAATATATACAGGCTGTACAAATAAGGCGTAGATCTCGACAAAGTGAGGTTATCTCATCTGTGCTGTCACGAAAAACGTAGGACGATGAAAGTTTCTGCTACTGAAAGAGCTATATAAAGAACGTGAAGAGGCACAAATGTTTCAAAAGGGCAGAGAGTTCTGTGCTTAATGGAAAAAGTATAAAGAAAAAACACAAAAAACTCTTTTATATCACGATGGCAAATTATGGGTGCTGCTTGTGAATCTTCTATTTCGGAAACTGAAAAATCAGCTCTGTTGTACTCGTTCCGATTCGTTTAAGTTGTGAAAGGAAGCAACCAGAAGTCATGATTATACTTGAACTTCGATTCATTAGTAACATGTTTGTATTGATCTCAAAATTCGATGTTTGAAGATGGTTATAAAGGTTATTGCATAAAAACGATCCATCCTAAATATTTAAACCGTGTTTGATTTTATAAAAATTAATAATATGACCGTCGTGTTGTTGGAATTTTATGATAAACTCTTTTAAGTCAATATATAGAACGTTGAATTACAAAATATTGTAATTTGCAAAACAAATGCAACAAAAACAATGTAATAATAAAATTAAACTCCACTTACCTCTTTACTGCTTTGTGAAAATGTGCTCAAATGAGCTTCGGAGTGATCGCCATTTTGTACATTCTCACCTGAAAATGCAATTGCAAAGTTAATATTAATAAAAGAGTAACAAAAAAATTTATATTTCAAATTTAAAAACAAACCGATTTTACGCAAATGAAGGCTGCTGATGGCAAACAACTAATGCACAAATACTAATTATATACAAAACATAAGCAAATATGACATGAGTGGAGTGAGATTTGGGGTTTGTTGGGTGTGTATGTATAAAAAATGAGTGCATATATTATATAATATATATACATGTGTGTTTATATACATGCATATGTTAAAGTGGCATTGTGGAATCTGAAAATGTTGCGAAATGTGTGAAAATGTTGCAGCAAATTTTCAAAGTGTATGATTGTTCGATGGTTAATTTTTGTTTGTTAGAATAAATTAGTATGTACATATGTACATATATATACAGCGTTTACCCAAACACAAATTAAGCTACTTTAGCATGCATATAATCACATGTAAAAAAATTAAATAAATTCACAAGTTGTGTACATAATTCATATGTAGTGCTTGAAGTTTTCATTAATCGTAATACTTTTTGTTTTTCAAATATTTAAATCATTATTTAATACTTATTTTTAAGTAACATGCAGTTTTTAAATACTACAATATAAAAATTATATTAAAATGAAGAACAAAAATTAATCATTGAAAATAAAATTATAAAATCATGTTTACCTGTTTCACCTTGATTAGTGCTTCACTTACATAAAATTATGCATAAATTGTTTAATTCTTATAGTCTAGTTGAGCTCTTGTATGCTTAATTTGTAGGCTTCTTGTTTCCATTGCTTAAACTGCTTAAAAATAGTTAGCTTAATATTAGAATTTATTTTAGCTTAGAGTTGATTGATCACTTAATGGTGCTTAAACAGCCGTTTGACGGCACTCTTTTACCAAAACACATTGTGACATAATAATTCAGTTAAGACTATTTAATTAACCTTTTCGACTTAATATGAAGACTGTTGATGTTGTTGTAAAATCTATATAAAATGTGCCACAAATAATTTAGGACGAGGAGAGTGTATTTGACCAATTCCCAAAAGCTAGTGATATGTTAATTTCGCTGAAGAACGTTCCACATAATAAGTTCAGTTAATTAAATTACAACAGATCGCTCTAGCGGGAAATATTGATGAAGAGCGAAATTTTTTTATAAAATATATGTATCCTGTACTTTCTTGTGCTGCTAAGTCTGTTTTTATCAGTTTTAAAAACAGTTATCCGTTAATAATTATCTTTAAGGTCGACTTGAAAGTTGAGGTTATGGTAAACAAATTTTGATAAAATGGTTGGCTAAGTGAGGAGAAGGTTTAAGGGTTTTAATTGCTAATTGTACTTATATACATATGTTAGGTCCGAACACAGAGCAACACAGTAACACTTTTACGACCTTTGGTTTCCAGAGACTTACTCCAGATTGAACATTTTAAAACGAATAATACTTTCAGTGTTACTACAGTGTGTCTGATAACTATCAACATGAAATCAAATTCGAGACTATCTTAGCTGAGGTCTCAGTTTTTTTTTTTTTTTTTCTTGGAAATTTAAAGGCATTTTTTCACCCATACAAATTACACCATATTAGAAATATGTACGCTGTTGAACACATTTAAATGTATGACTAGTTTACACTAACCAACACAATATTTATTTAAAAAAGAACCGAATAATATAAAAAATATATGTTAATAGGTATTTTTAACTGTGTTCTGAAAATATCCGAAGCTTTAATTTTTAGTAAAACTTTTAGTAAATTTTTTTTTAGCATATTTCTATAAAAAAAAATGTTGTAATTTTGTATTTAGAAAAGTAATGCAAAATATAATTCTTTATTTGAAAATAAAATGAATCACAATTTCATTTTTTAATGTTTTTTAAGTTTAAAGTTTAAAGTTTAAAGTTTTAGTTCTTTAAAGCTATTTTTCAATCATTTTTGAATACTTTTGAAAAATTGTAATTGAATTACCTTTTTTTTTTTTGTTTTGAAAAATAATAGCATTTCATATGTAAAAAAATATCTTCATTACGTACTCCACTTGGCTTTTGTGCACGAATTTAACCTAAAGAATTCAAATATTTTTTTATAAAATAAAAATTTAATAATATAAGAGTCCACTAATTGTGTTACACTTCAATAGTGTAGTATTTAAGAAATGTTTGCACACTGGCAGTTCACTTGCCGGCACTTAGGGAGGTGCGCAACTCCTTCGATATCCTCGCCACCTTCATCTTGCAGTCACACATGACCGCGTGATTGTGCAACGCATTGGCGCAGATGATGCCATTCAACAGGTTCTCTAACTCCTGTTCGAGCATTGCGACCACCTCGCGCTGTTGAGGTGACAGCGGTTGATCGGCTTTAGTGGCAGCGCCATCCACGTAGCAGGTGGAGTCCGTAGAATTACAAGATGCTGCGCTGTGCGAATGGGATTGTGTGTGCGCCGTTTTGCTGCGCTTGCACTGCTTACCGGCACCTAGAGTACCTGCTAAACGCAAGTCGCTCAAAGTCTCCAGATGTGCGGTGTGTTGCAAGAGATGACGTGCGCTAGCGTGCGACAAGTCGAGTAGTGAACTTTCATTATCGGTCGAGTGCTGCTGTGCACCGGCACTCAACTGCTGAGCAATCACGTTGATCTCCTCGTTAATGATGCGCTCCAATTTGCGACGAAATTCCGACTCGTGCGTTTGCAATGTGCGCGCGCAATCCGAGTTCTTCACATTAATGTTGATATGTATCTCCAGCGAACGCAATGATGAGGCTGCTGATGAAGAGCCAGCTTCCGATAGCGAAGCGGTGACATGTCGATAATGTTCGTGTGGTAGACCAACGCTTATGGCGGCGACGGTGGCGGCGGGAGTTTCCGGCGTAACATGCGCAGAATGGCGATTTGGTGCAGCGGACTGAGTTTTCGAATTCAAAGTCAATTTAATTTGTTTGTGTGAGTGATGGGCGTACAAATGCGTATCATCGGGTTCCTCATCATCGCATGAGTTATGTAATTTGCGCACTTTTGGTGTGGAAGTAAGCAATTTCGCATCTGTATGATGTACTTCCTGTTCCGATTCGGGTTTGTGTTCGGGCATCTCATGCGTTTGCGCATGTGCGGGTACAAAATCGCGCAGCAAATACTTAGCACGTTGGGTGGTGGGCGAGTTATTACGCGCAAATACCGCGCTATAATTATCACCTGAGTCGTCATCATAGTGTTGTTGTTGGTGGACGCCGTCATCGATATGATGATGCTCCTCTTCCGCCTCCTCGTCATGATAGTGCACTAGATCGGCGGTGTGGCTATGCGAGCCAGCTGGATAAGAGGTGCCACCGATGGAGAGCAACGATGAAAATTGCTCGGAGAGCGAATGTGCGTCTGTCAGCTGTGGCGTAAGCATATCACGATCATGTTCGGATAGCTGTTGTACGCCACCGGCTATGCTCGCACTCTCACAACCACGTTCACTCGACACCTTGCTGATGCGCCGTCGCCGTTTGGTAGGCTCCAATTTTATTTCTTTTACCGAAATATATGAGCCATTCGAATCATTGTTGTGTGTGCTGTCGCTGTGCGTTGGTGTGTGTTGTGCCGCCCCCTCCTTGCTAGCATTACTGGTTAGTCGTAGCGCTTCGCAGGATTTCAAGCGTGGCGCACGCGGCTGCCGAGTTGAGTAAAGTTCACATTGTTGTTGTTGTTGTAAATAACCAGTATTTAAACTCAAAGCAGTCGATTTAATGAAAGCGATTACCTTTTCACGCTGCAACTGTACGGCGGTGAGCAAGTGAGCTGGATGTATGGTGATGTGTGGTTGATATGTTATCGGATAGTTAAAGCCATAATGAGAGCAGGTGCGATAGGGCTGCATTGAGTAGGTGTCAGCAGGCGGCGAAGAAGATAATGATGTCGTATGAGTGACTGCGCCCGCTGCGCATTTGTCGCGTTCGGCGTCCTCATGTTCGCGTTCTAGCTCAATTTGTTTGGGTGAGCGCTCCAAGTTGTTGGTGTTTGCCTTGAGCTGAGCCGCTCCATCTGGTAATGGATATGTGTAATGTGGAAATATTTCAATTTTATGTATCATCCAAACATTAAACACCAGCAAATGTTGCCTCGGATATATTTTGCTCAAATCTGCGTTGCGCGGCTTATACAGAAAAGCATATTTCTCAGCAATTGCTGCCAGACTTGTAAAATTGTGCACAGTTTCGATTTTCAAGTGGGTATATTTGTGTGATGAATGAATCTCATATGCTTGATGAGTATGGTTAATATGAATTTTTGTGTTTGTTGTAAGTGATAATGGAGTTTGTTGTTGGTGGAATGTAGCTGTAATGGCATGAGAAATGGTATATGGGTATGTGAGACACGAGAGGCAAAACGTCCGACATATTCTAATATGTACGCGTACTCAACACATGTAGACAAACGAAGACAAAACGATTTAATGAATTTCAACGAAAACGAGACGATACGGGACGACAATTTGACAAGTTACGAATAAAAATACAATTCATATATTGGCACATTTGTTGTAGGTTAGTCTCAAGGGTCTAACATCAACTTCGCAGATACGAATATTTAAACTCTGTTTTATGGAACACTTTTAAGTTGAGAGAAAACCACAGTGATAAGAGAGTTTTAACGGATATATGCAAATAGCTATGGGGGAAATAATTTGCGGTTCTCATCAGCCAACTAGAGAGTCTGACGCTCGCAATAACGTTTACGAGAAGAGACTTAATAAAGTTCCTGGATGACACTCATTGAATGATGCCAATCGCCAGTTTATAATGTACTTCGTCCGATGTTGCTTAATTGGATGGTTTAATCGCGTCAATATACTTAGGGAAACCACTCTTAATGTTTCTGGAATATATTTTTGTTTCATGTAAATGTCTGAGGCGTGATTTCGATGGTAGAAACATAACAGTTATTGTTTGTTCGTTATGATTCTTAACGGCAAGCGAGTAAATATAGTTTCTCATAAACATCTCCGAAGCTTCTTCTACTGCGCCCTTATTGTCCTTTGAGACAATAACGTTGTTTCGTAAGTCATGACCAGTCGAGCAATTTCGTTGTAAATTGTCGATTATGTCTCTTTGTCTTTTCCTTCGAGTGCTGACGGCTGGCGATTTGACGATTGAGCGCTAAGTAGACCCTTACTACTTCATTTAGAGCTGCTTGAACTTTAAAAGAAGTTGCTAAAATTTTACGACAAGTATTTTACCCCTGAGTAAGCGTCTTGACAGTAATTTGGGATGAGAAATAATTGTCATCACTGCCATAAAATTATCCACACACTTGTAAGGAGATCTAATTACTAACATATTCAAGACATGTAATTAGATAACTGTTATTTGCGCGAGTAATAATGTTTTTAAAAAAAAATCTTGACATTAAAAAAAATTTTACTCTTCAAAAGGGATATTCATAATCACAGTAGAACCTAAGAGCCTTAAGCATATTATATTAGTTTATAATAATTATATGGCAGACATATAATTTCATTTTAACGTTCTTAAGCTAACTTGGCATTGGCAAATTTAGCCTGTGATCTTTAGTCTACTTAAACTCACTAAATTTATTTAATAAAATTAAAGAAAATTCATTTTGCGCCACAAACTCGAGTTTCTGTGTAGTTTACGTGTTTGGCCTTAAACATGAGATAGTGAATATGTTTTGAAGATTATCATTTGGAAAATTGTATTTTAACTCGCCTTTATATTAGAGTTATTGAAAATGTTTAGTTTTGTAAGAAAAGCTTTGGGCGCAAGCACACACAAAAAGCAACTTAATTTTCGTTGCTCATTTAGCGCTAAACTTAAACTCTAGTTTGTGTCGTACTATTCATTTCTTAGAGTCTAAAACAAGTATTTGTATATAACAACGTACATATGTAACTTGAATAGCTGCAATAAATGTTTTAATCAAAAAAAAAAGCTATGGCAGTACTATAAATAATTATTTTAAAACTTAGAAGTATAAATATGTAGTTAAAATATTCAGAATTTAAGTAATTTTATTTTATTAATTTTATTACAATAGAGTAAGTATTGATATATTATATTTTATTTTCAATATGAAAAAAAATATATAAATAATTCATTTCTAAGTTATTTCAAATTAAAAGTAAATAGTTAGTTCCACACCAAAATAAAAACTAGATAAATAAATACATACAAGCAAGTATTCATGTTGCTGCACAAACAATTACATACATATATTTACACATAGAAAATGGCGATGAGTTAAATGATACATGAAATTGATGACACCGCAAATTTTCATTTGGTCTAATATATTTACATTTTGATACATTTACGTATGTGAGTGCATTATATACATATATACGAGGTTATATGTGAAAATACAGAAAACCAAAGCCCATTCAATATGCAATATTTATACACAGTTAAAATACAAAAACAGTTAAATAATTCAATTTCACAAATATTATAATATTTTTTGCAGAATTTCAAGTGGTTACAAATTTCGTTGTGCATTATTTATATATAAGAAATAAAATCGTGTGGATTTTATAAATGCAATTTTAGAGAGTATTTAAAAATTTCAATATTTTGTATTAAAAACGGAGAGAATATGATTAAATAACGGTATTGAGCGAACAAAACAAAACAGAAAATTATTCTTTAGAATAATCCAGTAGTTGGTATAAAATAATTTTGTATGTAACAAATAAGTAAGGAGTTAAAAGTAAAAATAAATTTCATATTTTTTCAGGAAAAAAGAAGTGGTTTTAGAAAGAGCGTACAATTTAGTTTCAGCGGTAGCGTTGGTGACATTCGACGAGACAGTTGCGTGGTATTTATGTATATTTTGTATAGAAGAGTTGTGTCTATTTAATTCATTACTATTGAATTTTGAAATTCATGCAAGTTGCGATTTGAGAACATTTTTCACACACTTGGATTTTGAAAAATCGAGCGTACAAATTATTTAAATTGATATCCAAAAAGTAAAAAAATATATATGTATATAATTCTTTGATAGACATATATATTTTTTTTCATCGAAATTTGTAATTGGAACAATTATTATTAAAATTATTATTTTGGTGATTGTGAAGGTTTTTTATTTCTTAAGAAAATTTGGCAGTAAGTATTTATATAAAAATACTTAAAATTAGGGATATTCGAAAAAAAAGATATAAATATTACAATTATGTAGCAAACACTAATCGAGAACGACTATCATTTCTTTATGCCACACTTACATTTTTTAAATATAAATTTTGTTTGTAGATAAATTTACAAAAGCATGTAAAATTTCATATTAAAAGGCTTAATTTAAAAAAAAATATTATAAAAATTAAATTTAAAAAAAAAAAATGTTTTCATAAATTCAAAGGCGGTTTGAAAAATTATTATTAATTATTTAATATTATTTATTTTCAGAAATCGCATATTGAGTGCCATTAATATTCAATTCCGCCAAAAAGTTAAATTATATAAGCATTAATCGTAGTAAATTTTACAAAATTGTTCTTCAAATGTCTCAATCAATCAAAATTATTTCTTTTTCATACTTTTTGTCACTTGATTACATTTTCCAATTGAAAAATTTGAAAATTTAAACAAACCTGCTTATTACTTCATTTAAATTCTCAAATTTTGCAGATTATAAAATGATAAAAAAATGGAAAAAAATATATTGAACTATAAAAGTCACACAAAAAATTGTCAGCTGCTGTTCCATGCCCGCCTACACCCTTAACCCCTACCACCCAAACACACTAATCCTCCGTCTCCGAGATGGAGTAAGTGTGCACTTGACACATTACGTGCTCCGCATATTGCTGCAGCGCCATTTGTTCGCGCAATTGGCGTTGCTCTTCGACAATATCACCCTGCACCGCGATGCAGTCGTCCATATGACGCGTACACTTGGACACGTGATCACCGAAATCGCGCATTTTACGTTTGTATTTGTCGAGCCGCGGTTGCAATTGTTGTATTTGTTCGCCGAGAGCTTCGAGCTCGTGCTGTACACCATCAGTACCGCCAACTGACAGTTCAGCGCCTTCATTAGCGACTGCTTGAGCCTCTTCTTGAGCACTTGTGGTGCACATAACGGCATCCGTTGTGTCTTTCTGCGCAACACCAGTTTCATGACAGACAATTCCCGCTTCACATGCTTCTAACTCATACTCCTCTTCCCGACTCTCCTGCTCATTGTCACGCAACTCAGCGTAGTCGCGCAAACTGCCTGTGGAATCATTTGGACCCACACGAAACGTGCGATGCTGTGAACGTCTACGTCGCTTTTGCGCCTGCAGCTTTTTAACGCTGGGTTGTGTAAGACTCACCCAGAAACGTGGCGAACCGCGCACTAACTTCGATTGGAATGTATAGACGCCAGTTGAGGAATTGCGTGGACTTAACTGTTTGCTAGTCTGGCTGCTACTTTTCACCACCGTACGGCTAGAGGATGTCGTCGAACTGGTCAAACTGCTATTGGACATGTTGGTAAAGAGCACTTTTCCGCTATCGCCCTTTGCGCTCAACGGTCCGAAGGGATTCTTGCAAAATATAGCCTGTGCATTGCCCTGCAAGCGTTTAACGCAACTACCTCGAACATCGCTACCGTTGCCGCTGTTACCGTGTCGCGGTATGGATGCATTGCGTATATTTTCCAATATGAAATTACGTTTTAAGGACTTTATTTCGGGCGTGGAACTGCTGGCACGTGGCCATCTGCTTGAGGTGCGTGCTCCAGTCTTATGTTTACACCCGCCCAAATCGTCACGCGCACTTAACGACCTGCGCTCCTCTTGTGGCGGTGTAGTTGTCTTATTAAGCTTCGGTGGCGGTGGTGAGAGTTCGCAATTTCCTGTTGACGGTGTTAGTGAACGCGAACGTCTTAAATTGAGCGCGGATGTGTGCATTCTCAATGCACATGCGCCAACGCTGCTTGCATGACGTCTGCAGTCTAAGTCGCCATCGCTTTCTTCCTGAGTCACTTCAATCATAGCATGCTCTCGCACTATGCTATCACCACCCGACTCTCCCAAAGTGGTGTGTGCAGACAAAAATTTGGAATCAGAGGTGGATGCCGTGAATGTGCTGTGCGAACTGTGCGACTCATCAGCGTTGTGTTCGGTCATATTTAACGACTGTTCTTTAACCAACTGCTCGATCTGTGCTGTCGTCATTTTATTGCGTATAGTCGTATCGATTTTATCGAAGATCTCCTCACTCTCCTTCAGTTGATTTTCTTTAATTTTTCGCAATATTGTACGTTCCATTGCATTGAAATGACTATCTGATTCATCTATATCGTTTTCGTCAACATCAGTAATCGCATAATCCGCTTCGCCGCCACGTTGCCGCGTACGTGTTTGAGTTTGCAACTGTAAATTTTCGACGTTCAACAGCAGCTCTTCGAACTCTTCGCTCAATTTAGTGAGATCCTCATGTTCGTCGGATTCCAAAAGTGCTCCGAACTCCATATCATCCTTATCAATTAGTCGTAAATAATCTTCGGCCTCGCAATCGGCGCTAAGTGTCGGTGAGGTTGGCGATTGTATGTTTTGCTTGAAGAGCACGTACTCTTCGAATTTGGGTTCGCACATTGATTTCAACTCTTTCGCTGTACGTTGTGCTGCGGCTTGTATAGAAGTCGAAGCTTCATTGCTCGACGTTTTGCTCAGCACATTAGCTTTTTTCCGTGGACGTTTTGTTGTTCTAGGTGCAGTATACACTTTACTTGAGGCCTCGTTCAATGCCTCGGCGGTAAGTTGTGCGACGCGTGTAACATCCGGTATGTTTCTTGTGACAGTATTGGGATTGTGATCTAACTTGTTTTTTTGGTCATTGATTGGTAATGCCATACCGGCTTTCGCCCGCTCCACAGTTGGTGCCCTGAGCTCGTTTATCAAGATTTTCGCTACTTCCAGCTCTGAAGTGCCCTCGTTGTGGTTTTTCACAGTACAGGCAAAATTACTTTGCCCAGCTTTGTCTTTTTTTACGTTCTTCTCAACTAAAGCGGTAGCAGTTTCGTCAATTTCTCTATGCATTCGACCACCAACAGAGTCAACAGCAATCTCATCCAACTGATCTTCACGAAAAAACAAACCCTCCTGTGAGGTACTGATATTGTATGTGCGTGCTGATTGTTCGTCATCACTTACTGATCTGCTTCTGCCGCCCGTGACTGCGAACACCTTTGAATTATTCAGATCAGCTTCAAATATGGTGGTTTGTGGCTGTGGTGCTGAGAGTCGTCGGCACTTGAGTTTGTTAAAAGAAGGTGTCGGTGTCGAAGCTCGTTGAGTTGCTGCTTTATGAACTAAGTTCGGCGTAATACACGTGCTTTGTGATGCTTCCGCAGTTTTCGTTTCAATGGGCTGCATGTTTTTGGTCTTTGTCTTTCCTAAAGTTCTGCCTGCTGTGGTTGTTACGACTGTGTCATTCTCATATATTTCTAGGCCTGCAGTAGTCGGCTCGTTGCGTCCAGATGCTTCAGAGCAATTAATTGTCTCAGCTGTTATGGTGACGCTTGAAGTTTGCGGCGTGGGCAGCCTCTCAGCTGTTGTTGAACGCGGTCTCGTCACTACATCAATATGATTAATTGAATGTTCACACACATCTTGAGTTTTACCCTCAACTGATTCCATTGTCAGCATTAAAGCCGCCTGATTTGCCGATTCTTCATACTCTCTACGAGCGTGTGCCAGGTCGTGTATTGAAAATCGTCTTATTTCAGTTGTCTGCAATTTCATTACCGTCTCTGATTTCGTAAGCTTATTTAAATCCTCATAATCATCACTCATACGCATTGCAGTACCGCTTGGGCAATTCTTTAGAATCACGCTACGACTATTAAAGACTTCTGCCTCGAGCAGCTGCGTTGTAGACTGCTCTTTAATTTGCGCACTCGCACCTTCTTCTTCTGCATCAATATTGCCGTTACCAATATCATCGTCTGCAGCCGCATCCTCGATTGTACGTGCACTAGCAACGCCTCGCTCTTGTTGTTGTCCATCAATGGCCGACTCGGTATCGCTCAATGAATTTAACTCCTTACCATCAAAAAAGAATATATGATCTTCCCAGAGTTCCTGAAAGACGAGCTTACGGCGAGTGCGTTCCTCGCGCGTCATTAATGAACGGCGTCGCTCCTGATTGTCCGAGTTATCAGATGTTGTGCCGGAGGCATTATGTTGATCGCTATAATCAGGGGTTTGTGGTGTGGCGTTAGTAAGTGGATTTGCTTTATCGTCTGGTTCATTACCGTGTGCCATACGCTCGCTGGCATTTTCATAGTATAAACAAATAGCGCCGTTATTTGGATTTTGTTTTGTTGTGGATTCGGTACACTGATCTGTACCTTCCGCTTGTGATGGGGTGGCTTCATCGGGCCATTGCATAAACTCCCAAATTTCCGTAACGGATATACTACCACGATCTGCTGAATTAGTGTTTTGTGAATCTGACGGTTCTTCGATATTTACATAAGGCTTTAGGGCGTTCTCTGCATTCACCAACTCCACTTCGGATTCACGAGCGGTATTGTTGTGTTTCTCTTCCATAGCTGGCGCGCAATCTCTACCCAATTGTTGGTGCTGCTGCTTTTGACTTTCTTCCATAATGGCTCGCTCCAGCTCCAATGTGAGATTAGTGCTACTGGCGACTTTGTGCGGCGTATGCGCATAACTCCAATCCGCCGACTCCTCGGAATAGTTTAGACGCATAATCTTCTCAATAAAACTAGAGTTGGACGATGTACGATTAAGTGTTTGTGTATACGTTGGAGGCGGCAAAGCTTTCACGGTTGCATCTTCATTGCTGTCCGGCTCAACTTCCTCCACCACCTCCATTACCGGTTCGAGTTGTGAGGAGAATGGCGGCAACGTTTCCTCGGTGGTGTCTGAACTGGCATACTCTACATAATCGTAAGCCATACCATCCGAGCCGGACTGATACATAATGCCTGGACAAGTACTGCCCGGCACACGTCCAGTTATAGCACCACCCGTGCCATTATAATCGCATAAATTACGCATACGCACTTGTGTTTGCTGTGCCACCTCCGGCTTTAGACGTACGATTTTCTCAAAGCAATACTCGCAGAGATCGACATAACGAGGCGATGAAAAAATCTCCTCGTAAGAGATCGATTTTCGTAACGGCACATATTTCTTTTGCTCTTTGGCACAGGGTATATGCTTGTGATCGGGCTGTGGATCGCGTTGCGGTGAATTGAAGCCGAAGTGCGACAGTGTGCGATAGGGACTAGTTGTAGCTTGAGCTTGTGCTTGGTTTTTACCACCACTGCCGTCAGCAGCGGCGTGCTTTTGCGGCATATCGATACGAGTTTTGCGTGGTGTGTTTGCCGATGTGCTAGTCGTATCAGGCGATTCGGTAGTGAACGGTATGTTGAAGATGAGATTGTTGTCATTCGCCGGCGGTCGGCGCAACGACTCAAAAATACTGTCACAAACAGCTGGCGTGCAACAGGCGTGTGATTTTTTATAGGGATTCTCTGCTTCATCTGTATCGGTTGTGGCCACGGACACGGTATTGGCTTTCTCATAGACTTGTTCGTAGACGGGCGCATAGTTGTCATAGTACACGGCACACAAATCTGTTGTTGAACGTCCCAACAAATGACCGAAGGTCTGTTCGAAATTTGGCAGAGTAACGATGCCGACGGTAGGCGCGGCATGCTGGTGGCGTTGGTGTTGATGTACACAATGGTGATGTGTGTGCGCACAACCAGCACCAACGCCGGAATTGTTACTGTTATTATTATTGGGATCGATGTAACAAAATTGCGGTTGTTGGGCTATGGTCTCGGCTGCATTAGAACACTGCTCAGCTGGTTGTATGGGACGAAAACCTACCGACTCTACTTGCACACGTTGTTGCAGATCACCCCCCAAAAACTCATGGCATTGTGTGGCAACTGTCTCGCCACCACTGTCACAAACGCGGCCCCTTAAACTCTTTTCAATGTCACTACTCTTTGTCGGCGTATGGCTACTATTTTGGACCTGCCTATTTGTACACTCTAACAGTTCATAATCTTGCGGTTGTAATTTGTGCTTTTGACGCTGAAATAATGTGTCTTTCTTGAGTTCGGCTATTAGCGCCGGATTGCGTTTGATGTGGCTGTTGCTGTTGTTGTTATTGCCACAAAAGATATTCTCTTTGTTGGCTTGATAGATTCGCTGTGCGGTCGACTCAGCTGTGGCAACATTCATATTAGTCGCATTTAAATATTCATTCGCATGCGTACCATATTGATTGTTGTTGTTGTTATTTCTGTTGCAATTAATATTATTGCTGTTGCTGTTGTTTATAGCCAAATTTTTGCATGCATTCGCAATTTCGATGAACTTTTGATATTGCTCAAGCTTTGCATATCCCTCTTCTTCGGCAAAATTATCAGGAGTTTCTATGGCTAAGAAGCGGTTAGGGATTGATATATAGTAAGTTTAAGGTTAAAGCCGAAAAGGGGAAACATATACCATATGTATTACTATATTATAAAAGAAATAATACAATTATATGTATTTATAAGGCTTAGAAGTTCACTTGAACTTGAAATATTTTCTTTTTCTTTGTAACAATAATAAATACAAAATACCATATATAGGATTGAGGAAGATTGAAGCCGCCATGGTAAATCCGATTTTTTGTTAATATTTATTCAAAAAGAATTTTTAAAATATAAGTTTTTAAAATTATTATAAAATATATATTAAATTTTCGTTATCAAGTAGTTAAAATATGTTATTTATTTATAACATTTAGTCATAAAAAAAGTGTGGTAACCCTGTCAACCTTATAAAACAAAATTAAAATAAAAACAAGAAAAAACCTTAGCTTCAGTTGTGCCGAAGCCCTCACAAATTCAAAAGACAACAACTTTAATCATTCAGTTTGTATGGTAGCTATGTCCTATAGTGGTCCGATCTGTACAATTTCTTCGGAGATTGCACTATTGCCTTAGACAATAAACCATGCCTAATTTTGTCAAGATATCTCGCCAAATGAAAATGTTCGATATCGACGGTTCCGACAGATATCCAGCTTCTTGGAGAGAAAAGGTCGTGTACAAAATTTCAGATTGATACCTCAACTACTGAGGGACTAGTTCGCGTATATACAGACAGACGGACAGGCTGATTATTTATATATGTACATATGTATATATTGTATAGGGTCTCCGACGTTTCCTTCTGGGTGTTACAAACTTCGTGGCAAACTTAATATACAATGTTCAGGGTAAAATAATAACAGTAATACCGTTCAAATTGTAATTTTTTTTATAAATTTTATAAAATCATAAATTTGGCAACTAATTTAATTACAGTTTTACAGAAATAAAAAAGAAAGTGAATAGCGGAAAAACGACGATTTATTCCAAAAACCTTAACTGCAATTCTAATTAATACGCATTTTAATTCATTAAATTTTTAATAAGTTTACTTTTTTCGCATTTCTGCATTCTTATTATTAGAAGAAACTTTCTACTGTGACATCGAAGCCTACTTTTTTCAAGCAAAAATAATATATCCTTTATTATTATTTTTCCTTAATAAAAGAATATATTATTATTATTCTATTTATATATATTTATAAATCTGTTTTTTTTTTTAGAATAAAATAATATAATAACTTTTTATAAATACAAAACAATCTGAAAATATGTATTAAAAAAAATATTTGTTGCAAAAGGTATAAATACTGATTTTGTACTAAAATAAAAATTTTAAATGTTATTTATTAAAAACATTGTGATGCTTTTTTACATTCATTGTAGAAAATCAGCTTCATCATAGTTCTAAAAGTTATTCAATTATTAAAACAGGGTTACCATCCTTTTTTTTATTATCTAGTATGTAATTTTTATTTAACAAAATTTTAGTTTTAAAGTAATTTTTTTCGCATACAGAAAATTTGAAGAAGAAATTAGAAGTTAAACTGGAATATTTGTTCTATTCACCGTTATTACCATGGCCCACACTCAAATATTTAAAAAGAAACTGCATGGTTTTAGCTAAAAGAAGTTGCATTTCTAATATTTTTACTAATCATTTTAATTTTAGGAAATTTTTTAATCTATTTTTCAGTGATATATTACAGTTGCTATCAAAAAGAGTGAGGCCGTTAAAAATAAGGAATTGGTTGTTACGCATTTTAGTAGAAAAATTTTATTTGTATACATATAATATTTACTAAGGTTAGTTCAATTAGAACAGCGCTACACTTCACCAGCTAAGAAACATGCTTGTCAAATTCAACAACTTAATTAACTAAGCATATACATACTTATAATATGTATATTTTGGCATTACAGCACTTCACAATACTACAGCACATAGTTCATTTAAAGTTATTTTTGTATTTTTTAGAATTTTTTAGATATTAATGAAATATATAGTGTAAATTGAGGAAGAGTCGCGTTTAGTTGCAGTTGTGGATAGGGTGAGAGTATTAGTATTCAATAATAATATCAGGTCTATATATTTTACAGTATGTTCAAAAGTGAATTGGAATTGCGGCACACCAAAAGTTAACCATAAATATTTGGTTTAAAATACGTGTAATATTTAGGAACGCAGGTTAAGGGTTAATTCACCACCATTAAATGCAAATATGTGTAAATGCTTTGAGCGCTTCACTTCACCCAAGTGATTTTTATTTACAAACGCAGAGGTTAAATTGTTGGTAAAATTGATGACTTGGCGATTTTGTATTAATATTTATTGTTGCACCATATACCTAAACATAGGCATGGTATATATTTGTCAAGGGGTTAGGATGTTTTACAACAAAAAGTAGGTACGAGCGCATTTGTGTTGCCCGGTTTTGGTTAAAAAACGCATAGAAATATTTATTACCTCGGCCCGTAGGCGGTTTGCGATTCACAGCCGTATGAGAACGTTCGCCATTTAAGAAACTAAGAGTTGCTAAAAGAATATACATACATATGCAAGTCATTTAAAAAAGATTTTTTTTCGTATAGTAGATAATTTGGTAAATAAATAGAAAAAAATAATAAAAAAAATATATGATAAATTTAAGGTTTTTTTTAATAACAAAGACAATATGTAAGCGATTTTTTTGTATGCTAATATTCATTATTAAATTTAAAAAACAAAGGTAATTTTTATTTTTATAAAAATGTGCATAGTTAGCATACAGATATGTCCTTGCGCTAAATTTTTACTATTTTGTGATAATAATAATGCAGAACTTTTTCCATACACTAAAGAGCATGTTTTGCATGCTATTGTTATTTTTAATGTTCAAGTTGCATAATTTAAATTTTATTTTATTGTATTTTTTTTTATTTATAATAATAATGTGCAAACAGTTTAATAGAAATGTCGTAAGTAGTGTTTGTGCGCCTAAGTTAACTAACAGCTGCAGCGCCGACTAAACTAAATTCATATAATAACAAACAAAAAAATACTTACAAATGCAACAAACAAAACAACAACTAAAAATTCACCTAAAAAACGTAAAATCGTATAAGCCAGGAGACGCTAAAAAGTGGCGGAGGGGTTGATTGGAGACAATGCAGACTAAATCCTTAAACTATTAGTTATAGGTAAAGAGCAGGGTTGCCAATAAAAAGTTGGTAATTAAAAAAATATTGTGTTTAAAAAAAAAACACAATTAAAACATATGCTTTTAAAGAAAGTATTATTAAAAAAAATCACTAATTTATTGCAATTTTTGAAGCATTGGTACAAAAAGAGTCAGCCACAAAATATATAATAATTTTTTTATTAGAAAAAGCTTGAGTTTCACACAATGGGTAATTAAAAATCCATTATGAATGTGCTAACACGCATTTTCATTAGTAAAGGAAAAAATCTTTAAACAGCTAGGTAAACAACAAATAACGAGCACGCTAAAAAATTTTCAAAATAAAGTTTGGTTAGAAAAAACAAAATGTGTTATGACGAAAGTGGAAACTAAACGACATATTTTTAATTATTTTTTATCGTTTCAAGTATGCTGGCAGGTGATGCAACCAAGTTAGAAATTATTTTAATAATTATTATTATTTTTTTTCTTTTGCAATATACAATTCGCAATGTGAGCATGTTAATTTATGTATGTGTATGCGTGTAACTGCAAAAATTTAGACCAATTATTGTGTATGTTGCGTGATAAGTATAATCCCTTTGTATGCAAAATGAAAAAATGTGTGATTTGAGGTTATGAAAACTTCGAAAAGGGGAACATATTTATATGCATATGAGACATTTGTAAATGACACTATTTATGGCATATGATGACAAAAAGACAACATTTTCAGATCCAAGTGTGGATAGTGGAGTTATGTTTACTTAATACAATATATGTAAGTGTTTACTTAATAACCGTAATAACCACAAAATTTGTATTAAAACATAAACCAAAATGTCCCCCCTTTTCAACTGCTTTTAACAAATATTCCAATATTACATATACTATAGTTTCGAAAATGTAACGAAAAAAGTCTGTTAAACGTTAAATTTGACTGTTGAATTAGGTCGGACATAACCTACAAAGCATAATCACTCTTCGTTTGTGTCATATAGGCATTAACCAACTGTGATAATTTGATTGCATTCAAAGCGTAAATCTTCCACACTTTTTAACTGAAAATGCTGCTTACTTGTATTAATACAGTGAACTAAACGCCTACGAAACTCACTAAGCGAATGTGGAAAGGTAAACTTAATATTTTTTTTTTCGGTTTCACCTTCGAGTTTGCACTCACCTCAGCGGGATTCGCCTTTACAGTGGTTTAAGTTTCGACATTACTGTCGGTTAAAAGTTCAAACGTATATTTGTTGTTGAGCTGTATTGTGTAGGTAGTATTTTTTTATTTTATATTTTTTGCGTTGTGCCGGAAAATAGTAGGTAATTATTGTACTAATATTTAGTAGTAGAAAAACTAATACAAAACATTACAATAGTGGTGGTAGTAGTAGATTGTGGTCCTATAATAACGCGTTTTATCGATGTTGGTGTTGTTGTTGTGGTTGTTGATGATGATAGTTATATAAAGCTAGCGATAAAATATAGCAGCGCCATAAAAACAATCATACGCAAGGCGGTAGTAGCTGAATATTGAATATTATTCATTGACTGGACTGACTGCAACTCGTCGCTTCGCTTGACTCATTGACTAAACCTTCACGCATTTTATGAAATGTGCGCACATGATTGATTTACCAATGGAAAACTAATTGACTAGCTAACAATTAACTAACACTTTCGACTAGACTAATTCGACTGCCTTCATTGACTAACGGACTACTGCGCGAAATTTACACATATGCAGGTGGGCAGCTTCTCTTTTGGTTCGTTTGTAAAAATTTGTTGGGGAAAAACTAAAAAATTTTAATTTTTTCTGGCTTACAATAAATACATTTTCACCACTTCAATTTAAGAATTACAAAATTTTTCCAATAAATTTTATTGTAGTTTCCGGAAATAGGTATTTTACACAAAACAAAAATTGTACATTTTACCGTTTTTTTCTATTTTAGAGTAATTTTTAATTTACCAATTCACTTTTTCTTGGAGCTGGCTACAAAATGTAACAGGTAAGGGGAAATAGAAGAGGAAAAAGATAAACAATTTTGGTGTAGTTAAACGAATTTTCAAAAATTCTAATTCATTCGTATAACATATGAGGAAAATTTTGAAACGAAAAATATGAAAAATTTAATAAATGTTTTCAACGCTTATTTACAGCAAAAATAAACCGTGAAAAAAACTTCGAGATGAAATTATTAAAAACAAATTATTACGAATTTAGTTTTCATTAGGTTTTTTAATACGTAAACGTTATAAACGAATTTAGAAAAAATCCAAGAAATATTTCTTTAAAAAAACGTTAACACCAAAAAAAAAAATTAATTTAACGGCTTAACAATATATGTATAAATTTGGTTAAAACGGTATATTGTTCAGGAAACAACTGCAGCTGCACACAAAACTTAAACTAACATAAAATTTGTGCCAATAGAAATGTTGTGTAGAAATTTTGAAAAAAAAATTTAGAAAGGAATGAAATTTCTATATGAAAAGTGTCGGTATTGATAGGAAGTAGAGAACAAGAGAGTGTGTATCGCAATAACAGCAGTGGCAGAAGTACGCAGTATGTATAAAGTTGTTTGGTTGTTAAATAGTAGTGGAAGTAGTAGTAGAAATAGTAGTAGTAGCAGAGAAGAAGTAGTAGAAATAGTAGCAGAAGTGGTAGTAGTAGAAAATAATAAATCACTTAATACACGCCGTACAACATGTTGGGCCTGTTTGCAAACAAATCGAAACATGAATTTAATATAGTTTTTTGTTTTGTAATTTATGAAAATAAGGAATGTAAGATTTTATAAGTTTAGTTAAGTTAAGTATGTTATTAGCGTATAAAGGAGATAGATAGTCAGTTTTAAATGTAATAATTTCTTAAATAGTTTTTGCTGTACTATTTGCTTGCGCACTACAGAAATGTGACGGATACGCTATCGAGTACGGGTAATATTTTCTTTCTAACAACTAATAAAATTAAATATTATATGTGTTAACGAAAGTTAAAAACAAGTATTATAAAATTAAATGAGTTTAATTTGTGTTTAACGTTGTAGCACAAAGTGGCATAAGATATTTTGGTTTTTTGTTGGTATTTAAGGAGGGAAAGAGAAAGTAAAATTGTAAAAATAAATTAAAAAGTGAAATAATACAAAAATAATCGCTAAAAGTAATACTTAAAAACTTAATTTTGGCAAGTGGCAACTACATACATAAAATAAAGATAAAATAACACATAAAAAGAAAAATACATTAGTGTCTATAATTGTGAAATAGCCAGCGAATACAAACTTTAAGTTTTGTTGTTTGCATTTTTTTCTGGCTACCTCGCACCATTTCAGCCTTGGATTAGCATAATCAACATTTCTAAGCAGAAATATTAGGCATAAATTGAGAGTAAAGAATTGTTTATGTTTAAAATAAACAGCTAGCGCAATGCAGATAAAAACTAAACAGAAAAATAGTTTAAGAAATTTTAATTAGGAATAACAAACTTAAAAATGCAATTATTGACTATGTAAAACAAAACAATACAATTATAAGCAGTATATAACGACTAAAATACTCGAACAAATCAATATATATATATATATATATGTTTATATCAACAATCATAAGTTTAACGAAAGTAACAAACAAGGAATAAGAAAAATGTGAACATACACAGGTATATTATGTAAATAGAATATAAAGCAAAATTTCGGACAATAACAAAACGCTGTTAAAGAAGTTTAATGATGACGAAGTAATACTGCTTCACGCACAGCATACTAAAATTTTGAAAATATAAAAGTATTTCTCTTTTTTTTCAGTGATTACAAAAGAAACTTATGCAGGTTTGTAAATAAAAATGGAAAAAAAGCATGTTTGGACTTACCATCGCTCAATACTACTTCGGCTTGGCTTGGAATTGGCGCTTGTTGGGTTTCTATTCTCATCACTTGATGTTCTAGAAATAAGTAATAAAATTTGTTTTCTTATTTGCTTAAACTTGTAAATAGTCAGTGCATGAATGCAATTGCAAGAGGTTAGGCCAGTGCAGAATAAAAAAATATAAATAAAATATGTTTTGGCTTAAAGTACACTATAGTCCAATAAATATTATACAACTGGTTGAAGAGCTACAACTAATCTTTTCCCCGCGCAATCAGCTATAGCGTGGATGCGTTTGGGCCAGCCATGTGAAGTATGATTCCATAACTCGTTTTCATTTTGCCATATGAAGCACGGATTCCTAGAATCGTCGTCGCTGTACAGAAAAGGTTAATATAATAAATTTTTTATTTACTCAAATACATGTTGGTAAATCCTGAAAGAGAGAAATTCAGTTCTTTTTTCTTACTCCAAGCCTTATTGTCAAAATTACACATTTTTCAGCCCTCTGGACTGACGCAACCTCTTGAATAAAATATATAAATTATATATTTCATAAAAACAATGTTAAAATTTAAGCTATTAGTTAATTCTAGATCTACTTAAATATATATAGTTATCTACTACAAGTTTAATATGATTTAGCGTCATTGTTTTATTTGTATTTTTATTTGTCATTTTGTATTTTAGGGGCTATCCGACAGAAAGAGCTGACCATTCTGTGAACCTGCCTGTTGTTCTTTTGGCACTGAAACACCATAAAGCTGTTGGTGAATACTGAAGAAATGCTTCAAATCGAATACTTAGACCCGATTGTCATTGGAGCGGTCCGCAAATTCTTCATTTGTGTAGTAAAAGTATTGTTTAATAATATATAAGTAATACATTTTTCATTATCGCATCGCTATACGCATGTTAGTAATTAAAAACGTTGTACAACTAACATAACAATGGCCACTATTTTCTCTACATTTTTAGCATTCCCAACATTTTCTCAAATGCACTTCTTATCTCACCTGAAACATCTTCTGGTTCTGATTGACTAACTGCGGCAGTTGCGATTGTTATTTGTTTCGTCTGTGGTGGTGCTGAGATTGGCATCGAACTCAGTGGCTCCGATTCGGAGAAATCAGTATCAGTATCTATGCAGGGAGGAAACAATGTATATTTATAGTGCATGCAAATCCAAACCTAACATCTCAGAGATGCACTTACATTCACCATGAATGCTCTTCTTCTTACGCTCTACCGTGCGTTTGTATTCGTTCAATTCATCATCGGTGACATTATCGAATGGATTTTTAGCATATGGTGCCTTATAAACAGCTGCATTATGTTGATAGCCACGTTGTATGATACCCTTAGAGGCTGCGCCCATTAACACAACATGATCACCAGCCGATGAAACGGTCGCATCCTTAATACGATTGGCCTCATCCCATGTAACACCCTCGAGGATGTGTGATTGCGGACCGGCGGATATTTTATCAGCCCGGCGATTGTCTTTGATCTAGAGTAGAAAACAAGTTTTAATTGTATAATTTCTTGTAGTTACCACTTATAATTGTAATGTCTTACTTGTTGTTGTAAGCGCCTGAACTCTTTTGGATTTGTTCCCGCTGGCACAAATTGCAAGGGATCTTCGATGCGTACTGGTGTCGAGTGTGTTGGTGACCCTTCGGCTACCCACTAACAACGGCAACATTGTGTGGTGACAAACATAACGCAGAACATGCGATGGTAGGAATTGGAGGCATTTTGGAATTGGTTGGAGTAGAAGTGGTGGTCGAGAATTTTTCGTAATATGCACAAAAAGCGTACAGGGAAATGGTAAATCAAATTGCATTTCATATGGGAATATGCCATTATTTGAGTATTTTTTTATTTTAGACGAATTTAGGATTTGAGGCAGCGCAATGTGGCGTACATTTGCAGTTTGAAAAAGGATATGCAATGAAAGTAGAAAGAGAAAGAAAATATTGATAAGTTTTTAACGGATATTTTTACTATAACTAAGTAAATTTGCCATTTTACTTTATGTGACTTAGTTGTTTGGGGAACATAAGCTATAATTGCTGGATTCGCAATACGTAAGTACATATTAAACACCAATTACGTAGTTTTTGAAAAGTTTAGCGGTGAATCTCTTAGATACACATATACATATTATATATGTAAATATAATTTGTTAGTTTTAAAAATTTTACTTGAATCGTGCTTAAACATATGTAAAGTTTCTATAACTTAAATATATACCTATATACATATATAGGTATAGATAGTATGTATTTGTACATGTGCTATGTAGAGTAGATATTTTAAAATTGTGTTTATTTATGAGTACAATTTATGTGAGTACACATCTCTTTCACTGAAATTTATATATATATATATATATATATATATATAATAATATAAATAAATAAAATAATAATTAATTTAAATACACAATAATTAAAATAAAATTTTAATTTTTAATAAATAATAGCGAAGAAAGTAATAACAAAAAATAAAATGTTTTACATTATCGAAACTTTTTATGTCGCGATTCTAAAAATATTCATATACATAACTTATTGATTATTGATGTTAAATAATACTTGGTTTTAATATTATTTTTTGTTTTTATTTCATTATTAAAAACATTCTTTCACAAAGCAAAGCAATTCATACAAAATAATATATACATATAAATAATAAAAACAAGTAAAACAAAAAAGTAATAAAAAAAGAGATGTGACAAAACAAAAATAGTTCAATGCCCATTACAAACCGATAAAATTTCTATATACAAAGCTAGAACTCAATTGATAGTTTTAATATCAAATCATCATGATACTGGAATCAATTTATTTCAGAAAATTTTCGAATTCATCTATACAGTTTTTTATGCCTGAGTACAGTGATTAAAAACCATTCATGCGCTTTTCACTTTTTTGACGAAACGCAATAACGTAAATGATAATTAATTTATCATGCAAACGTGCAACAAAAAAATACATAAGTAATTATTAAGACGGCAAAAATGTTAAAAGGGAAACCAAAAGTATGCAAACCATTTTTTCTATCGATTATCAAGACGCAAGAAAATACTTATAAGAAATTGTTAATGTACGGGTGAATTTTAAAATACCACTTTTGACAAGAGACTTAAAAGGCTTCTTTGGAACACTTTTCCACTAAGCATAAACTGTTGACTACACAAAATTGTAGGTCACATCAACAACATAACTTGTGTAGAATATTATATGATATATTTTTATTACATTATTTAAATGTAATTATTTATATTATTATATTATATACTCATTTATTATTTTTTTTTAATATTTGTAACACGTTTCCACAAGCTTTCTAAAAAAAATTTCTTGCGTGCCAACAATCGATACTATTACATACACAAAATTACTATATTTACAAGTATTTTTATAATAATGTAACATATACATATTAGTACAATATTTTAGACTAAAAAAATCGCAATTTCATTTGAATTATATAAAAATATATGTATGGTGACATTTTAAAATGCTCTAAGCATATTTAAATTACAAATATTATTGTATTAAAGTACAATGCGTTAATGGGTTAACATTTTCTTTCTCTTTCTATATTTTTTGCTCATTTCAATGCAGCTTTCATTACACGAGTGATTACTTTTAATTATTATTTATTTTTTTGTTAACATTTTTACTTAATAAAAAATAACGTGTCTGCATGTAGTTTATGCTGCATATTCTCATCAACTTGATGATACAACTGCATTACGCTGCCCAACAGCGATTCCCAGTAGAAAAGCGAAAAAGCGTCGTCAGTACGAGGTCATTAGCAGCCGCAGTTCGAGCACAAGTCCTCACAAGTAATTAATTACTCAAGCGAAATTAAGAGGATAGAATTTGTGCCAATGCATCAATGGATTAAACAATATTTAAGCATAAAAATTATTAATTTGGTATTCTAAGTTAGTTTAGTTTTGGTTGGGCATGTGGTAATTAAAAAGAAATTTTTTTTTGTTTCGATTGGTTTATTTTCATTTATATATATTATTATGTATTTCACTTGCTTTGCTTTAACTTTTCCACAAACACATATGAAAGCATTTACTTAGCTAATTAATGTGATTCATATTTTTTGTAATTTTCTCGCAATAAATTGCAATTATTTATTTAATTGAATAAATGTAAAATTAATCAAGTAATTTTATTATGGATGGTTATCTTGTAAACTGTGTTCAACTGTTTATATAAGGTTATAGTTAGATAGGCAGGAGCTTTTATTAGCTGACACTATGAAGCGAGAATGGACCGAAAAATATATGTATAAAGACCGTATTTTAATAAAAATATTAATATGGCAATAATTCTAAAAATTATTTCATAGAATAAGAACTATTTTTATGTATAAAAATATGTTGTAATCCAATTGAATTGATTAATTTTTTCTTCCTCATTCCAATATGCACACATATTTTTCGGTCACATTTCACAGTAATTTGTGCTATTTTGAAAACTATTTTGCAGTTTTATTTATTTGATTGTAATTTTTAAAGTTTAATGCGCTTTCCTAACCTAAAATATGCTTGCTATGAAAATCTAAAGAGGTTTGAAGCTAAGCAAAAATCGTAAATGGAATGTTGCGTTGTGTTAAAAATCAAAAAAAATTTAAATAAATTAATAAAAAAAATTTTTAATAAAAATAGAAAATACCTAACCTTTTCTAAACAAAAATATGTAAAGGATTTGTCAAGATATAATAAAAATTAAAAATTTATATTGGAAATAAGTTTTAAGTAAGTTCACAATATGTATGTATAAGGCAGATTGAAGAAAACTTATTAATGTGAAAAACTATAAGAATAACAGTTAAAAATATATTTAAAAAATAAGCATAAAGCATAAAAAATCATAATTATTGCAATTTTATCAAATAAAAAGTATAAAAAACAAGCCAAAAGAAAAAAACACAAAATGTTAGACTACTTAGCAAATGATTCTTCCCTAAACCAATACAATTAAATAAATACAATTACTATACATATTACATTTTTTACTAAGGCGCTTAGAAAATTTTCAATACGTAACAGCTAAATCAAGTCCTTTTATTTCTTTTTTTGGTGAAATTAATTGAGTCTTTTCGACTAGTTCTCTAAATTCTTAAAACATTCACGGCAGTTTTTTCAAAGTATACTGCATGAAAACAAAAACTTGCACAGCAATACTTATAAAAATAAAACATAAAAGCAAAATAAAAATTAAAGTATATGTGCATATAATAATCATTTAGTAAACATCAGCTCAATTTTAATTCATTTTTAAATGTTTAATTTGAGTTCGCGTTAAACAATTTTTGAAGAAAATTTGTAAATAAGAATGTAAACATATAACGACTTCACGTTTAGGTATTCAGTTGAATAAAACAAACAGTGGATATATTTTTAATTAATAGAAAAAAATTGAGCGGCGGCAGCAATGTTTTAGCAGTATTTGTTTTTCTATAAAAGCTACATTTATAATTCATATTTAAATGTTGGTAAGAGCTAATTAGCAAACTTTTTAACCCCAAAAATTTTTTTCCTACATTTTGTATAAGAATTAGTTACGTTATTTCATAAATATTATTATAATAATTCGTTTTCTTCTGTTTTGGTACGGTTGATTAGTGGGGCTTTTGATTTTGTGTTTTTATTTAAGGTTTTCATAGCATTTTTATTTCATTTTAGTTCTGACTTGCTTCAAATTTATCTTCAAAAGTAATAATCTCTACCTTTGTAATTTTCTTGGGATCGGGCGTGCCAGTTTCCAGTACCTCAACCTTCTGGTAGACATTTGGCGAGTTAAGCCATCGGCTGCGATCACCACCTTTGCGTAGGTCACCCTTCTTCCAGATGCTACAAATAAAAATTATAACACACCATTAAGTTATACATTTTTTCGCGGAATTTTTAAATATTTCTCCACTCACCCCTGCTTCAAGAGTTCCTCTTCTTCGAGTAGATAACCCAGAGAGCTAACCGCTGGTGGCAGCTCAACATCATTTTTCGGCTTCGGAGGATCCGACTTGATCAACGGATGGCGATAAATGTAACCGGTGCGATAACCGGCGTTATCCAACATACGCATGAGTGCCTCAAATTCAGCACCACCTACGCGCCACTTCGGTGCCCCGGTGGTGGACTTTACGGTAACAGCAGCACCACCAGCTTCGCTAATGGCTGCAGCGGCCTCGGCAGCATTTGCCTCAACTGTGGCCACAGCGGCGGCGAATTTCTTCTCTAAATCCTCAGGTGGGCGGCGCGCTTCAGCATAAATAGCTTTGCGTGATTCCTCCGGTATCAATACCAAATTATCCACGCCAACTGGCAGTAGTTGTAATTGTGTTTCACAGGCTTTCACAATATGACTGGCAGCAAAGAATGCCTCCTCGATGGTTTCACCACAACACAATGCACCATAATTACTGAGTATCAATACTTTGGAGTTGGGACCAAGTGCGCGCACCAAGCGATCACGTTCATCGGCATCCATTTGAGTGCCCGTGTACGAGTGTGTGGTCACTTCGCCCAAAACACAAGCATCACGGGTCAATGGCAGTAGACCAACCTTCAACGAGGAAACAGCAACGACAGGTGTGCATCCAATATAGATGGCGCAACGGATGTCTGGTCGGGCAGCATGCACCACCGAGTGCAGGGCAAAGTCTAGAGGAGACGACCAAATATATTATTAGTAAAATGTGAAACTATGAATTTAAAAACAATTAGATTCTGAAAATATTTAATATATATTAATGTAAATTTTTTAAACTTAAATTAACGGAAAAAATTTAGGTAAAATTTTAATTAGAAATATTTAAACTGCCACAATTTTATATTCAGTAATGTAAGCATTTAAAATATATTAAAAAATAACAGATTCATTTATAAGTACCATAATCAAATTAATTCAACATTATTAGCTTCATTTTATTTTACTTAATATAAATATTATTATGTAATAATGGTTTCGTGTTGTTTATTTTTATCTAGTTAACTTGTTAATTTTTATTTTTAAGTTGTCTTCTATTTTCTTCAGTTTTTTAATTATTTTTTTTATATTTATTTATTTTTTTCCTTTTTTATATTTATGTTTATTTTATGATTTATTTTTATTATACCCTGAACAGGGTATATTAATTTTGCCACGAAGTTTGTAACAGCCAGAAGGAAACGTCGGAGACCATATAAAGTATATATATAAATGATCACCGTGACGAGCTGAGTTGATTTAGCCATGTCCGTCTGTCCGTCTGTATATACGCGAACTAGTCCCTCAGTTTTTGAGATATCGATCTGAAAATTTTAAAACTTCTTTTTCTCCCCAAGAAGCTGCTCATTTGTCGGAACGGCCGATATCGGACCACTATAGCATATAGCTGCCATACAAACTGAACTATCGGAATCAAGTGTAGTTGTATGGGAAACTCTTTCATTTGACGAGGTATCTTCACGAAATTTGGCACGGATTATTAGTTAAGGCAACAATGTAATCTCCGAAGAAATTATTCAGATCGGATGACTATAGCATATAGCTGCCATACAAACTGAACAATCGGAATGAAGTGCTTGTATGGAAAACTCTTTCATTTGACGAGGTATCTTCACGAAATTTGGCATGTATTATTATTTTAAGTATTAATCTAATCTCCGAAGAAATTGTATGGATCGGATGACTATAGCATATAGTTGCCATATTAACTGAACGATCGAAGTAAAGTGTTTGCATGAAACATTTTTTTATTTGACGAGGTATCTTCACGAAATTAGGCACGAGTTATTGCTTAAGGCAACAAATTATTCTCCACAGAAATTGGTCAGATCAGATCACTATATCATATAGCTGCCATACAAATTGAACGTTCGGAATCAAGTTCTAGTAAGGGGCTTTGTTTTTGTGAAGGGTATTATAGCTTCCGCGCAACCGAAGTTAACGTTTTTTCTTGTTTTTTTATTATTTTTATTTTTATACTCTCGCAACCTGTTGCTACAGAGTATAATAGTTTTGTTCACCTAACGGTTGTTTGTATCACCTAAAACTAATCGAGTTAGATATAGGGTTATATATATATAAATGATCAGGATGAAGAGACGAGTTGAAATCCGGGTGACTGTCTGTCCGTCCGTCCGTCTGTCCGTCTGTCCGTCCGTCCGTGCAAGCTCTAACTTGAGTAAAAATTGAGATATCTTTATGAAACTTGGTAGACATGTTTCATGGTACCGTGAGACGGTTGGTATTGCAGATGGGCGTAATCGGACCACTGCCACGCCCACAAAACGCCATTAATCAAAAACAAATAACTTGCCATAACTAAGCTCCGCAATAAGATACAAGACTGTTATTTGGTACACAGGATCACATTAGGGAGAGGCATCTGCAGTTAAAATTTTTTTTAAAAAAGTGGGCGTGGTCCCGCCTCTAATAGGTTTAATGTGCATATCTCCTAAACCGCTAATGCTATAATAACAAAATTCACTGGAAGCAAATATTTTTAGCACTTCTATTGACGGTGTGAAAATAGTTGAAATCGGGTGGCAACTCCGCCCACTCCCCATATAACGGTACTGTTAAAAACTACTAAAAGCGCGATAAATCAAGCACTAAACACGCCAGAGTCATTAAATTTTATCTCTGAGATGGTATGAGATGACTTTATAGGAACCGCGTTCAAAATTAGACAGTGGGCGTGGCACAGCCCACTTTTAGGTGAAAACCCATATCTTGAGATCTGCTTAACCGATTTCAACTAAATTCGGTGCGTAACGTTCTTTTCATTTTTCTATGTCATAGTGCGAAAATGGGCGAAATTGGACTACAACCACGCCTATTTCCCATATAACACCTTTTTAAATTCCATCTGATTATTTCACTTTCCACTATGCAAATCAGGCAACAATGACTGTATCGGGATAAAACTTTGCGTGAATAATGCGATTAAAGTATGCCACCTTGTGGCCAAAAATTGTCTAAATCGAACCAAAACTGTTTAAGCCCCTAAGTACTAAATATGTGGACCCCAGTGCCTATAGTTGACCTTCTACCGAAAATATCAGCCAATCCACAAAGAAATCTTAAACGAGTATACTATTTGACTTTGCGAGAGTATAAAATGTTCGGTTACATCCGAACTTAGCCCTTCCTTACTTGTTTTTATTATTTTTATTTTTTTATTATTTCTATTTATTTTATATTTTTATTTTTTTATTATTTTTATTTTTTTATTTTTTTAGTTTTTTATTTTATTTATTTTTTATTCTTTGTTTATTTATTATTATTTTTTATTTATTATTCTAAATATTTTAATTTTTTATTCTTTTTTTATTTATTATTCTCTTTATTTCTTAAGATAAACATATTATGTTATTGTGTACTTTTATTCTTTTTTCGTTTGGTTTTTTTTTTTTGTTTTTTACTATCTACATATAGTTTGAATTGTTTTATTTTTGATAATTTCTTTAGGATTTAAAAAAATTAATTTTTTATTTCTTATTACTTGTTTCTGTGTAATTTTTAGTTCATTTTTGTGCTTTACAATTTATGTGAGATTTTCAATAAATAAATATGATCTCCACAATTATTTAAATGCAGATATTAATTTAATGACACACTTACGATTCTTATTCACTCCGAAATTGGTGGTGCCCTGCTCCACAACCTGTCCCTGCATATCAACCTTGTTCAGTGATGACGCTGTGATCTCATGATACATCATACCGTACGGATTCACCAAGAAATTCTCCTGGTCGACCTTGAGACGAGCGGTAATTTGTGCGCCCAGCCCTTGCGTCCAACCATAGAGATCCAACAAACGGAATGTGGCAGCCAATTTGCAACGCAAAATCTTTTCACCCTTAGCATAACCCATCGATTCAACGCCGCGTATATCATTAATTGGCAGCATACAATTGGTGGCCTTGAAGACATTACCGACACGCGTCGATGTCGGTACACCCATTATGTCCGATAACTGTTGCAGTATACCGCCGCCATCACGTGCAGAATCCACGATGCGTTCCAATTCCTCGCGAAAGAGTTTCGAACCCATAATGGCCTCAACACGTTTGCGACGCTCCATTTCGCGCATATCCTGTAAAAAAATTAATTAATGAAATGACATTTAAAATTTTTTAATTTTAATTCATTAAATCTGGCAAAGAAGCGTGGATGGTCAGTAATTTGTGACCATCAATCAGACTAATTGAACGAGTGTGAAAAATCGATGCAGCTGTGGACACTCATTCATTCAGCTGCTAGGCCACTTACGGTATAGAGTGTGTTTCATATTACTCTTACCTGCTCAATATCGGCTGGACGCGCTTTACTGCTATCATCCTCTTCGGCAGCGGAAAGGTCTATGCCATTCTGTGGCGGTGGCTGCTGTTCAACTTCAGTCATATTTGTAGCTGTTTTTACTTTTATTTATGGCTGTTATATATAAGTTTATATATATAATTTTAATATCTGTTTCTGTATATATTTTTCAATGGCTGTCTGCTACACAAAAATTTAGACTGTTACCGTTGCTGATTTTGTTTTATTTAAATTTTTTTAATATCCTTCCTTAAATGACTGAAAAAACCCTGTAATGATAAAGAAATAGAGATATTGTTAGAAATTTGTAAAATATAAATAAATAATATAAGCTACAAACAAGTATATACACACATACTTAATCATAGACAGACGAATGCATTAAGATGCGATAAAGCCAATAAACGACACTCAAATAATCTTCTAAACGCAAACGCCCACTAACTTATTGTCAATATAACCGACCGACCACCTGCCTATGCATTTGGCAGGAGACTGAACGTCTATTCAAGGCTGAAGGACGTCTGCTATGAAAATGTGTATTAAGTTGGAGGAAGAATGCACAAACAGCATATGAAAAGGATATGATTTCAAAAAGGATGAGCGCATATAAGTCCAATGTAAAAAGATACATTCATTGTCGTCGTTCTCTTCATCGGTAGTGACCTTAAAGCGCGACCAAACACGACTTGGTAGTTGTGAGAAGAGAATATCGACAAAAGCACGCCTGAGTATAAACTATAATAACAGTGAAATATAGTTTATACAGCAGGAACACTTCCTCAATGCATTCATATCTCTCTCTTTCGATAAATGCATTGCGTTGCAAGAATAATTGGCTAAAATAAGAGCACAATGTTGCTGTATTCGCAGTCACTCAAGCAACTGGTTATGAAAAGAGAACTTGTGAGTGGAAGAGAACGATTTGACCCCAATTAAAAGCTGGCACAAACAGATTGCAATTGGTCTTATTGACTCATCGTTGACAAGGTGGGTAGAAGCTAGTGTAAACTATTTGTTTTTGATTATCTTTCAGCTGGGTCAAAGTACGCAAGATTATATTATTATAGGTTAAAGCGTACAATCAAGATAAAACCAGAAATACACTCAGCGGTGTGGCATATAGAAGGTTTGCGCTAAAAGCGACATATTTATACATACTTATGTATGTATATAAATTAAATTAAATATAATTTTAATTAAAATAACTTTCTACAATATTGGCTTTATGAGGTTTTCACTTAGTTTGAATTTTATTTTATCGTTTATTACTTTTTATGGGACATTTCAAAATAATTATATTGCAACGGTGCTTAATATATATAAACTATGAATATTTAAATATATTCTTGGATTTCTTTCGCATTCAAATATTTCTCTGTTAGAAGCAGGGTTGCAAATAACGTGTAAAGAACTAAAAAAATAATTGAATAAACATTAAAATTAGGATTTTTTTTATTTTGTAATCCTGAAAATCTGAATTAAAATTAATTTTTAAATTAGTAATCCCGAATACAAGATTGAAAAATAAAAAAAAATGTTTTATTCCAAATACCGGAAAGGAAACTCCAAAAAATTTAATTTTTAATTTTCCAAATACAAAACTTAATTATTAATCCCAACATCTTGAAACTAGAATGGTCAGCAATTAATTTTTAATCCTAAATGTTTAATAACAAAAAAATCGCAACCTTGATTAGAAGCTCACTCGCACTACGTACATTTTCTTAACACTTTTAATATCCACAAATAATACCCTCAAGGCTATATTTGCATACAATTGAAAAAAAAAATAATAATAATTACTCAGTAAACACGTAAGGCGGTGTGAATTGCTGAGTACAGCGAAGCATCCATTAAATTTTCCGCAATTTCACATTCTATTTCACCCACCAGCAACCAACTTCAACTGCAATAAAATCTAGCTTTCTCATGCATCCACTTTATTTTTTATTTGTTTCAAACTGTGCACATGTCGTAGTGCTACTGTTGGCGAATGTAATAAAATCGTGGAACACATGAACAAATCTTTAATTTTTTTTATACATCTCACAGCACTTATCCCGTACGTCTCAACCAGCAGCCAGCTGTTTCGCCGGCCACACTTACTCTCAGCTCGTATACAATAGAATAATGCTCAGAATTTGAAACGATCACTTTTTTCTTATATATATTGTATTTTCGAATTCTTATTCCTTTTTTCATTTAAATAATTACTGGAGGCTGTTGTACTTTGAGTTTCCTATTGGCTACGTTTAGGAAAATATCTGCACAAAAATAGAAATTTTGTAAGTTTTAGAACGCACCACAACAGCCGCGGACGTTCGTACGGTCAAAACGATAAACATATGTATATGTATATTTTTTTTTTGTTTATTTAATTTAAATTTATATTTTTTTACTTTAACTAAACGTAAACATTCCACAGAAAAACACACTCGCGTCACACGTCACTCGCTTTGCGGCCGGCGAACTTTTCTTAAAATGTATGGCTGGCTGTGTATTTGTGTATGTGGGGCACTTATGGCGGTACGGTCGGTCGCCTCTTTTGCCTAAATTTGTTTTCTCGATTCATTTGGTGGCCGCTAAAATTCACTTTCTCGTATGTTTATTTTAGAATTTCCCGATGCTTGATTTCATTTTATTTCAAGTTGATGTTGTTTTTGTTTTATACATTAGGTATTAGAGATATTTTTTTGTCTGCTACACATTTTATTTGAGACTTGTTGAAAAATTATAAATGACAGATGTTGGGGAGGGCGATAGCTACTCCTCCAAGCATTTATTAATGAGAAGCGACAATTACTATTTTTGGCAGAACTTTCACAATTTTCATCATGCGACCACTCATTCATGGCGGTGATCAGATTTAATTAGTGAATTTTTAAAATCAAGTATTTATTTTCACACAAAATTATTGAAAAATTATCAACAAAATGGTTAAAGTTAAGTTGGGAATATCTCTTCTTCTTCTTAAGCAAAAATAAATGGAAGATCACACTACGACATAAAATATATTTACATTTGATTTAACTTAGAATTATTTAATTTAACATTATATTATATAATATAAGAAACAATTTAACTAAAACAATATATTATAAATAACTCGTAGTTATTAGATTAATTTAAATAAAAAGTGTGTAGCGAATAGATAACAAAAAGCACAATAACTAATAGTCATTTAATAGAAAATGGAAAAATGTAGTTTTAACGAGGAAGCGGAACGTTTTATGACTTTATTAACAGTACTTTTATTTCTGCAAACATTTGCGAAAAGTTATCTTATTATCACGGGTTTCTTCTTTTATTTTTACAATTGTTTTTATTGCCGTTACCCTTTACACGTGAGTTGTCACAAAACGAAACGAACCGCGTCAGTCAGCAATTATGTGTACAATTACAAAAAAAGGAGAGAAAAACATTAAGGCAAATAAAAATGTTTAACACAACCAACACTTCACGTTTGCGTTCATTCATGGGTTGTCACTCGTTATTCAACATTGACACTCAATAGCACTTACATAGTGTTGAACATAATTCTCGTTACTAATTGAAACCGGCAACTAACTAGTTGCATAGTAACAAATATATTATTAATAAACAAATAAATATTAATTTCAGACTGTTTTTCAAATATTTATTATATTATACAAAAATATACAGTAAAATTTTTTTGCAAAAAGCTTCCACTTACTCGCTATCGCTATTTCCTAAGTATGTGGACTCGTTCCTATGTGCGTCTTGCAACTAATAGCCTTTCAATATGCAATAAAACCCAAACTTGTGCGTTACTGTCATTACAAAATGCATTCGTTGTTGTTTCAACTTATCTCGTTGAATATGATTCGTCATTCAATGGTAAATATGTTGCAATCAGTTAGAGAAAAAAGGGGGTAAATGTAAAGGGTACATTCGTTGAGTGTTCAGTTGCATTGCGTCATTTTTATATAGTGCAAAAGTGCAGTTACTAATGTTAATTGTGCATATTTTTTCAACAAACTATGTTAATTTTAATGGTGTTTTATGAATTTTGTAGCAGCTAAAGGGTATAGCTCAAAACAACATATTCTCACTTCTATTGTTGGGCAGGAAATATTTGTATGGAAATTGGTGCGATATCGTCATAAAGCTTCCGCAAGTCACACTAACTACGTGTGAGATATGTCACATTTTATGTTTAAATTTACATACAATAATTTATGCAGGCTGACTGACCAACCATATACGAAAAACAAATAGTAGGAAAAGATGGGTCATGGTAGCGGGTGCAGAAGTTGCGAAAATTCATAAAATATATGCGTAACAAATGAAAACATTTCAACTAAATTTTTATTAAAACATATAGTTACCAGTTTATGCAAAATGCAGCAGGGGAAAATAATGTAGGACTATAGGTAGAAAATTAATACTTCTCTTTTTAGATTATGTAAAAAAAATTGTGAAAATCTGTTATGGTGGAACAAATATTTTGGATCTTAATCCAAACTTATTTTAGTGGTCAATTCCTAATGCCTAAATCAATAACATAATGCTAAATCACTCTTACTAATAAAAATTAATCACGGATCTTATAAACATAAAAATTAATTAATAGTTTTGATTACGTTGTAAACACATATAGAGACGCGATTAAAACAACAAAAAAAATTCAAACCGAAGAAAAAAAGTCTGATTTTAAAGCATTTTTTTTCTATTTTATTAATTTAATTTTGTTTTATTTTTTTACACATTTTTCATTTTCCACGTTTAATTCACCATAGTTGCGCGTGGTGTGGGCGTCTTTTAAACGCTTCAAAAAACATACGACTATAAACATACACACATACATACTGTATGTAATACATACATATATAAATAAGACGAATGAGTCAGTCAACTTTTTTACCTAATCGACCGTTCAATATTCAACGTTCAAATGCACATCTTTTTCCAAACGATTTGGCTGATCGATGATACAACTTTTGTAGCAGCAGTCGACAATCAAAAGCTGTAGACTTCAGAAGAAAGTATAGAGTTATAAACAGACAAAAAATGTCTGCAGTTAGTTCGGTGGTAAGTAGAAACAGTAAATGATTTGTTAGATTGGTGGGTGGGACGCTTGATTGTTTCACGATTTTTCTGACTGTCCAAGAGTGGAAGTGAGATCGATTGTTGATTATTGAACCTTGATTGGAGGCAACAATTGCTCAACAGAAAAACAGAAAGCCCAAAAACAAAGTAGTCAAGTAAGAATTGATTAAATAAAAAAATATTTTCTTGTCTGTTT